ATCAAGGCTAGGGTTGCAGTCAAATGCTTGTGTCAAAATGAAGTTGACAACAGGCACAAGCTGGTTAATCGTTGAATCACCTGGACGAAAACCAGATTGATTTGGGTTTAGTAAATTATTAGCATCTAAATGCTGATAAAGGGTATCAAAAATCAGCTTTTGAAGAATTTTACCGAAGTAGAAGAAGTTTTTAAGATTCTTCTTGCGAACTGGAACTACATTAGCCCTCTTCCACATTTCGGGGAAGACACCTTGACTTTAACTAAATCTAAAAATACTATTGATAACGATTTGAAAGTAATACTTTTTAAAATCAAAAACAATTATCTTGAAGATTTTAATTTAACATTTACATATTGGATTTTAGGTTAGGTAATAGACTATGCAGATAAAAACCTTAACAAGCTTAAGAAAATTTATAAAATCTTGCTGATAACAACAAACCAATAATTACTGCAAGGTATGGCAATAGATTCGCAGAATAATGAACTTACAAATTCCTTTCATAAAATAAAGCCTTATATTACATCCACTCCATCCATTCCAGTCTCTTGGTGAAAGACGGAGAGACGAAAGAAAACCAAGTTACGTCTCTGGCAGCCCTGTGTTTTATACATGCAGTGAAGTCAGATTATTCGTATTCGTATATCTTGTTTTCGTTTTATACCAGCCACAGTGTGACCCTGTTGCATCTTTCAATAAGCTAGAAAAGGCTCTGTCTTTTTTGGACATAGAGGGTCAAGGAATGATCCTCTTAGGAGACATAAACTGTGATCTCACTGCCAAAAAAGTTTAAGCAGCCCATAGGTAATGAATCAAAGCATATGCTTGATCTGTATGGTCAACATGATCTATATTACATTATTTATCATGGTGCTGTAACATGTGCCAAAAACATTGTCAACCCTGGACTGGATGCATGAAGCTTCACTGTTGATCATTATATGGTCTACTGCATTCAAATGGGGCAGTAGAAAAAGACCATAAAATGGTAAAAACCAGGAAAATGAGCAACTTTCAAGTCAAGAAGAGGCATTTCTCGCTGACATTTTTGACATATGTTGAGAGCAAATGCATACTGAAACAGATGACATAGATGTATTTGTCAGCAATTCACCAGACCTGTTTTCATAGAGAAACGTGCCCCAATGACGGAAACGCTTGTCTCGGAGAATTACTGCGCCTGGATTGACAAAGAACCTTAGAAAACCTATGCAGACAAGAGATTATCGTCTTGCTGTCAACGACAAAATCTGTAGCCTAACGCTCAGATAAGGGAATATCACTTTGTGACATTCTTTTAGCCTTTCGTTAGTGATGCCTCAATCCAAATTTCGTAGTTGCTTAATTGCTTCACTACTCGGTTCTCATTCAAAATGCCAATGACTAAATAATTTCATTGCATCTTGCTTCAAAACTGCGACTGTCAGATTAATACGCCTTAGAGTTCTCTCTTCTTTACTTCTGTGATTATTGTACATTAAAAACAGTGTTAGTAGTACTACCGTCACCTTCTGCGATTATTCTTTTCCTAGCCACCAGTTGATATCATCTTAAAAGCAGATGTAATATTTTGTAAACATCAGCAAACAACAAGTTTAACGACTATAGTGTCCATTTAGCCAAAAACCTTGTTTGCTTCGTTGCATGTTGTTGGCTCTTTGAAACATTCTGTTGATGTTCTCCAATTTTATGTATATCACACTATCAAGAGATTCCTAACAGAACTGTGTCCATCATACTCCCAAATACGATGGGTTGTGAACAGGCTGATATGAATTGTCTTTTGCTATTTTCTTGAGATCCTTTTTGTTTTTACACCAAACATGTGCAAATAGCTACTCAGTGATGATGCACCTTAATATCTTGTCAAATTAACCACTTTAAACAGGGATTTCCAAGCCAATCCTATCCGATGGCCAACGCACCAGATTTTTAGAACTGAGCATGATTGAGCTCTTTCACTATTGCAGAGTGTCTTTAGTCCATTCTGTGCTCCAGTATTCATGTTTTCACCGTCAGTCATGAAAGAAAACGTATGGATGAGCACACAATCATAGTACAGTTGTTTGCAGGCTTCTTTTATTACTGGTAAAGAACTTTAATCTTCAACCTCGCCAAACCCACGGAAATAGAATAAACTGCCTGCATCTTGATGGATAAGTGCAAATGAGTTTTGTAAATTTGCATTTGATCAACTGAGAAATCAGTTCTATGTGATATTACAGTCATTCAATACAACACTCTTTTTCTGCAAATCAGCATTGACGACGAAACCAAGCATTTCTGAATGGCTTTCAGGGCATAAATACCTGAAGTTGTTTCGATCTTCCTGAAAGCCCAGATTGTTCCATTAACCATCAAGTACTCTTCGATGAAATTTCACAGGACGGCCACAACCAGGAACTCAGGGTTCCTCCTCCACGTTTAGCAACATTGAAAACTGCAAGCATATGCCAACCAACTCTTCGGAATATTGTGTTGTTTGTCTTCCAAATATGACAGATAAATATCGATTGTCGTAGCATCTTCTATTAATAATGGTTGTAACAAGGCTTTCCAATGACCTGCTTTGCAAGCAGAGGCGTGTATAGCAGATTTCAAATGCTTATCCTTTTTCTTCAATTGGTGATGCTTGGGAAAGGCCCAGGAGCCTAAAGTGGAGCCCCAGCAAAGGGGATATTGGTGTTATAAAAGAGGGAGTGGAGAGATCTGTGGAGTAAGGATGAATTGTGTAGAAAAGAGCTCGAGAATTTAGAGTGAACACTGGAAGAGTATCGGGTGTTACATGTATGTATAAGGGGATCACGGTTCATATCTCTGATATCCAGGGCGCTATGTCTACAGTGCCGATGAGAAAGAGGTTGATGAGACTTGGTGAGGCTGCAGTTTTTGCCAAGGCGAATGGCCTTTGATTGGAGTTTTCAAGGAGGCACAGGGCAGATTTAGGTGCACTACCCCAAATATGAAAGCAGCTTCATCCATGTGTCAAATCCATGTGTGTTTTTCTTACTTCTCCCCCAGTGGCTGTACATATTCATGGCCTATAATCACCTTGCTTATACGAGTTGACAGCATTTGGGTATCTTCTTTTTTTTTCCTTTGCTGCTAACGCCTTCAAAACAACGTTTTCAAATAAAAATCTTCATTTATTTTGCCTCTTCTTTTTTTTACGTGCCCAATCTTTATCATTACCAGCCTCAACACTGCCTTTATTATTGAACAAACCCTCACTTTGATCTTTTTTTATAGATTCAGTGCTCGACTTGCTCGACTTCCATTTCTGTTGTATTTTGCTTCCAGACAGTCTTATCTTCCTCTTCTGCTTGCTGTTCTGTTCCGCATGGGCTAATATTGACTTTCCGCACGACCAGGCAATTCAATATTGCAATGCTTTTTCTCTGCTAATCTGAACTAATAAAACCCAAGAAGCTCTGGTAGCAAGTCTATATTTACGGTTTTGCTATTTTTTCTTTTTCTAGGTCTGATTCTCTAAGAAAGGGCATCTGTTAAGAGAATTGTGCAATGCTGTTAAAGTTTTGATGACATATTTTCTCTTAGAGAGGCCAAAAAACTCTTACCACGTTTTATATGAGCAGCTTCAATAATTTATCACGTAAAAGCAGTGGAGAGTTGAGAAACGTATGGGAAAATATTAGTTTCTAAGGAAAACAGGTAATATGTAGGTGTAAATTAAGGCTAAAAAGCGTTATTGTATCTTTTTAATTTTCCCCATTAAGTTTGCTTTTCCCAGACCACCAATTAAAATTACAGGACCAACATCAGCAGCAAAAACAAGCTTGGATTAGGCACTGCGAGGTAATGAGAAAAGTCCTTGGCAAAGAAGCTCTCGGAGTTAGCTGAGAAAAAAGCTATCCGTTCTATCAAGCATACTTGATCAAAAAGAGCATTGATAACCAATGGCCCCGGGACACAATTTGCTTTATGTTCGTTCGTCGTACGTGTCAGGTTCTTCGCAAATACTTCGCTATAGGAAATGATACGAACACCGAAATGTTAATTGGAAGAGAAATAATATTCCCGGACAGGTTAGATGCGGGATGCGAAATGGGCTAAAAGAAGAAGTAAGACAAATATCACCTTAACCATATCGCAAAACTTTTAAGGCAATCCAATTAAAACATTCGAAATAAACGTCTATATTAAGTGTTGCATTGACAGCCATATAAAATCATCATGGCCTTAGGCACTCTAACTTGATACATTTTACCTCGGATACATGCATCCGACAAATTTGTTGAAATGCAAAGGGATTTTGTAATTAGCAGTATTAGAGTTAAATGAGAGGACCATACTTTAAAAATAAATCATTAGCTAACACTGAAAGCAGGAACTTCACAGAAAACCAAATGCAGAACCAGGTACATCTTACTGGCACGCAGAGGCAAGTCTGAAGAAATGCGATGCTACAGGGGATTATCTTCGTGCTCCTATGACGTCATTTGGAGTATCTTTTCTTACTTTCCAGAAGGTTAAACGGCTGTTGGGTAGTGGTTGAGTATACTATACGTGATGAGATTTACAACGTTTATTCTCAATCCAGAAGTCACTTCAAACTTGTCTTTCCGTACTATATCTTATAAAAATCTTAGCATAATATGCGTTCACCGGCGTTCACAATCAACTAAGAATTCCAAAAGGATTTACGAAAAATCTTGTTATATCAATAAATCGATAAAAAGGTCATTTAATGAGGAAACAGATCCTTTAAAAGCGGTTTCTAATCCTTTTAAAATAGCTCTGTTTTCGCCTAATTTGCTTTGCCACATTTTTGAATCATATGAAATAGTTCATCAAAGGAATTAGTCCAAACGATTTTTTTCTAAACGTTTTCGACAGAACATTTTTTGAAGTTTCAATAAAGTATGAAAGAGTTCTCTTGTTTACTGATAAAAACTTCCCTGCCTGCATTCAACCTTCCAACTTGCTCAGCATTCAAAATATGAAGGGTAGAAATATCAAGACACAAACATTGAGACTGAAAGACTGATCAAGCATATCCAATTATTAGGTATTGATGTATGTTAATATTCAATGAAATATCTATACGTTTCTACGCAAATAAAGCATATTGATAAAAATACAATATCAATCTAAATCCCATTAGTTGACAGCTTAAAAACGACTTGATTGTGTACTAAACTTTACCATGCTGGTCTATACCCATTTTATCATAAAATTCATGGATGACTGTGACATTCTTGCCCATCAACTCAGAATGAACCTTCATTTCTTTCAAAACATCATCTTCAGATGCTCCATTTCCCAAAGCAGTCATAAACTTCTCTCTTGCAACTACACCCCTGAGAGCAAGCTAGAACAAAACCATTAGATTAATATAAATGAAATCCATATCAAGTTTAAAAGCTGTAGTTTTTATAGCTAGCAACATTTCAAAACTGGAGAGATCTTAAATCCAGATATTTAGAAGAATGAAAATCTAGACATCAACTTTATAAGTAAAATCATCATCAGTTCTGCAACTTCATCAATGATTCTTTAATTCCTGGCAGTACACAATTCCTTGCTCAGAGGAATGGATATTTCTATAGAATTTATCAAATCAAAGCATAATGCATGAGTACTCTCTCCTGTTCAGCTCTTACCCCAAATGCCTTTTGAATCAACCATCCATGGTACTGTTTTATTGTTCTTTCATATGCTTTAGAAACAGACTCTCCAAGATGGGGATGCATTGTAAGAACTTCTTCAAATATTGCTTGAATGAATGTGCTTATCCTAAAATGTGAATTTGTTTCTCATCAAGATTACAAAACTAAAACATAGACTATATATTTTGGAGGACAATGGCCTTTTATTCTTAATCAATGGGAAAATGTGACATTATCGTATCAAAACAATAGAATTGGCTACAATATTTGACCAAAGGAATTAGTCCAAACGATTTTTTTTCTAAATGTTCTCGACAGAACATTTTTTGAAGTTTCAAAACAATAGATCAAAACAATACTCATTTGCTTATGCATTTAATTCTGAATCAATTCCAGAAAGAATCACATACATGCTTGTAATTTTTTAATAGTTCCCTGACAGATCAAAACAATAGACTTGGCTACAATATTTGACCAAATGTCCACACCTGTCTGTAAAGTTCAATATTTTCTTCCTTAGGAGTCAATATTTTCTACAGGGTTTATTTTTATCTTGCTTAAGAGAGAAGCGAAACCTCTTTAGTGTATTGGGTAGTTGAACCATTGCTCATTGTTGCCTACCATGTTATGTCTGATAAGGGTCTTGCTCAGAACAGTCTTTTGGGAAATGTCTAGGATGTCCATATGGTAACCATGTTGAAATATGTACAGAATTTCCTGAAGCAACATAATGCTAACAATTGTTTTATACTATAATCAAATACCAAAAGGCTATTTTATGCTATAATCAAGCTTGAAAAGAAAGATGCAAGCAGGCCATTCAGGGAACCATTAAAAAATTATAAAGCAAATGTACAAGCATGTATGTGATTCTTTCTGGAAGAGATTCAGAATTAAATGCATAAGCAAATCAATTAATTTAACTGCATACCTTTTCAACATAAGCAGTGATAATGTAAGGGAATCTTTTTCTTTTTCTTTTCCTTCCTCCTTTTCAGTTTCAATAATACTCTGAAGTGTTGCATATTTTTCCTTATCTGTTTCATAGCGTTTTTCAAGTTTCTAAAAGATAAAAAATACCTTAGTTACTTTGAGAATAGTAAATTGTGTATAGCCTTTCCTAGAGGGACATGAAAGTGTAATTTCTAAAATCTAAACTCTATATTACTAATTAAGTAGGCTGTAAAAATTGCATTCTAAGAAATTTATTGATTTTAATCTTCAAATAGTAATCAAATGCTTACGTGGTCCACATGAAATACTGTGTTGGAAAATACACCATAACAAGCAAGCATCATTGCAATATTTTTACTGTTGTTTTTCAAGAGTAATAAACCTCTTTTTTTAAAATATATTGCCGGAAAATGATGATAAATGCCAAATCAATGAGTTTTTTATGTTTTTTGTCTCTATTGTAAAGTTTCCTTGTGGCAGCCTTTGCCAAATACTGACACTATTTTAATTGAAAGTACAGCTTGTAGGTTTAATTTGCTAATCAAAGATACACATGGTTGATTGAAGCTCAAGGGTGTGTTCAAACTTTCTTATTAACATTCGCTGTAAGGTGGCTTGAGTATAATTGCGATTGTTAAATAAGATATGTTTTATATTTGATTTGAAGTCCTAGATGTAGGAAGCAAAGGCAACATAGCCCCCTCTACTTTTCAGAAACTCTCTATTTGCAAGAAAAGTGTCTAATTGCAAGAAATGAGCTTTGGCATCCTTTGAAAGGGTATGAATTGCATTCTGATAATTCTTTAACATAATCTAGCAGAAAAAAACTTGCTCTTACTATTTTGTTTCATATGACATCATCTATAAAAAATGCTTTTAAATACAAATCATTACTTGTTTCTTAAAGATATAATGATTTATTGTCAAATAAAGAAACACAGGCTACAAGTGACAATAACTGGGTGATGTTAACCGCCAAAGAAAAACACTGTAACATTTCATAATCAACTGTAACTTACTGTAGCATTATCTGTTGCCTTAGATTTGATTTTCTGGAAGGCACCTGGTCCAAGCAAATCTAGAATTAAACAATATTCACTTACTAACAGTAAGAAGTTAGGCTGACCATAGGCTCTGATGCAAGTTGAAAAGTTAAGGGAGGGGGGAAGGAAAATAAAAGACACATTACAAAGATTTGTGAAGAAGCTCATTGTAGAAGGGGGGGTGGCCCCCTGGTTGCATGTTGTCTGGGGCCTTTATGTCAATTATGTGGCTCATAGAGGTTTCCTTTTTTGCTTACACCTGCCTCTTCTTTGAAATACCCTATGAAAATGCAGCTATGTTTGCATTTTATGCAAAAACTTGTCTATTTATTTATTTACTCAATTTGACTTTTATTTCCTTTTCCAAACGTTTGTCCTGAGTAGCAGTCATCAACATTCATATTTCATTGACAGAGGATCAGGGCTGCCGAGAGCCAGCTCTGGCCCAGGGTTGATTCACAACTGGACCCCCTTAAGAAATTTTCCTGTGACCACGCACTTCACTCTCCCACAGAATTCGGGAAACGCCCTTTTTATTTACAATTGTTGGAAAAAATTTTAAGGATTTTTGCAAGAATGTGCAAAAACATTTTCCATGAATCAAAGACATGTGGAAATTTCTCTGCGATAAACTTATAGGCATTAGTTTCATCTATGTAGCTGAAATAGTAGCTTTTGCATTATAAATAGCGATAAATAGATCTTATTACTTAATTACGGGCCCCGGACCTTTTGTCCCTCCTAACCCCCCTTCTCGACGCCCCTTGCTGGGGTTATTTACAAGGGATTGACAGGTGATTGATCAGGGATTGCCCAGACGATTCAAATGTGACTGGGAAGTGGGCGTACACATGCTGAGCATTTCCAATCCATACTTTCCCACCAATACTCTCTAAATATCTATCCAACCCACAAGCAGACGCAGAAAAATGACTGCAAACAGACTGTAAGTGGTAGACTGCACATTATCGTCGATCAATCTCATCTTATAGTTCAGAATTTTCTTAATTTCAGGATGTGATCTAAGAATGACTCAGCTCTTTTTAAGTACAAAGAATGTATGTCTGAGTGCGTACATTAAATGAATAAGAACTCACCCAAAACATGCAGCGTTGACTTTATGGCATCCACAAAAGTATTCGTCGCAATCCTGCCATCTTCAGGAATTTCGAGGAACGGCTGCTTTAAGTTTGCGAAGAAAGTCATGATTTAGAAGCTTCAGGTTTAGATGCCACGAAATCTTGAAGTCCAGTGGAATGCTTGGCAATCATTGAGATGTTGACAATACCAATAAAAACAAAAACAATAGACAACTTTTGTGGCGCCCACCAAGCGTTAGGCATCGCAACGTCCGTTTAAAGGTGTTTTCTGTTTTAGCCTGGAAAATTTCACAAGATATCTGCATTTTGTTAAGTAAAAAGATATGCGAAGGGAACCCCCACGTTCTTTTCATCAGATCAGCAACGCTGCAGCAGCAGACGAGGAATGAATCCTGCAACCATATAAACTATTCCAGACATTGTGTGCGAGAACAATATAATTAAACATTTCTGGCCACAAACATTCTGAAAAGTCTGAGTTTCCTCGATGAAATCATCAATATCTTTCTTCCTTTGAAGGATATAGGATCAAAATCCTCAAGCTGACTGGAGAACCTGAAAACTTTACTTTGAACATAGTCATGCTTTGAATTTCAAAGTTTGAAGCAAATTACATCCTTGATTCCCTATGCACTCGATGAAAAAGAGACTGCAACTGTTGTCATTGACAACGAGCTAAAATGTTGATATGATCCGTCGATGTTGTTGATGTTGGAGTCTGCAGGTTGACCGTGCAAGTGAAACAATTTTAAAGGGAACTTTTGAACCATGAGTCGTCTTTACGACACCGTTGAGCCGTCGGTTATTGACGAGCAGATGCTTTTGCAGGCTGTAGAGGAACAGGGCCCAAAAGGAGAAGCCGGAAAGATAGCCAAGAAAGAAGGAATTGATTTTGCAGATGTGATCGGTCTTAGGCTTGATTTCAAAAGTAAGCTGGAGTTTCTCTCTAAAAAGTGTAATTTTCTACTATATATTAAATCAAGTTTAATTGAAATTGAGTAATATGATGCATAGTAACCTACTCGCCTGCAGGGAATTTTTATGGCTTAAGTCTTTGATAAAGAAAAATTAAGCAATGCACTGTAGCCTTGATAGCTTGTTATATATTTTCTTAGATATTCTCAAGATTGATAATCTTGGTCAGTTCAAACACCTTGTCAAATTGCAACTGGACAACAACATTATTGAAAAAATTGAGGGGTTGAGTATGCTTATACACTTAGAATGGCTAGGTAAGTTTACTTGTATTATTCTCATGTTTTAAATTATTGTACATCTGTCTATTCTCTTTTATAATCTTATGTTAATACCTGCTACAATAGACTGCAGTTTTTATACCTTTTGAAAACCCTACCTTTCAAGAACTCATACTGAACAGAGAAATTTTGTTTATTTAAGTCACAATTAGGAAAAATCAAGTATCTATGCTGATAATTAAAACTGCTTTGGGCCAGGCAAACTACAATGCTAACGATTTTGTTATTTCCTCTATAGACCTATCTTTCAACAATATTGAATGTATAGAAGGACTAGAAAAGCTTGCAAAACTAAAGGATCTGACCCTTTACAACAACAGAATAACTATTCTTGAAAACATGGAGTCCCTGGTGGATCTTCATGTCTTCTCAGCTGGTAACAACAGACTAGAGCAACTTGAAAATGTAAGTTATTCCCATTCAATAGTGGTTTTACTGAAAAGCTACTGAATCAACACACAGTTGTTCTGCACTTCTTTTTTATCTATTTTATTCCTGATTGATCTAAAGTTGATTTATTATTCTTTTCCAATCTGTACCCAAAGAGTGATATTTATCAGTCTCATTAGAAAACTTAAGTTTTGCATTGAATTATGTCAGTGGAGTTTTGCTGACTAGTTGGCTCCATTGTGGGGTGGGGTGGGGGGAGGTGGCAGTTCATTTGTATCCCTTTCTGACATTTTCAGACAGGGTAAAGCTTTTTGTCCGACCACTCTTCAGAGTATAAAGCCACAAGAATAATGATTGAAACTATCAAATTAGGAAGAATATTTAGATCTCTATGCGCCAGATGTTATATATGTTATATATAATTCTGTTAGTGACATAATTACCCAGGTAAAGATCAAAATAGGTCCATCAGAAATACAAATGCCTTATTATCATTCCATTTAGCAGTTTATGATACGATGCACATAAAAATGAAAAAACTGCTATTATACAGATAGAGGAAGTTCATTTTGACCCTTGGTCTGCATTTGTAATATCCTATATAGCAAACTGGCAATGATTGGGCTGGGCAACCTTACATTTCATTTGTTTAATTTGCCTATTTTGACCCTCCTGCATATCATAATATGCTGCAGAAGCTGGAAAAATTTAGTGGTGACCCACCAGCATGGGCGGACACTATTGTTTTGATAAGATGATGTCACATTGTGGGGGCAACTGCCCCCTTGCCCCCAAGGTGTCCGCCACTGTCTACCAGCCATGAGCATAAGAAGAACTGCAAGATGAGGATGCAGTAAGAGGGCATGGTTTCAATTGTAGGGATATGTAATGCAAAGGTGGTACTTTTCAGGTAAAAGGGGCCTTTTGCCAAAGAAGGGACAAAACATTTTTGCTTAAAAAATTAGGGGGTTCTGGGTTAGGAAATCCCTTTAAGACCCCAGCTCTTATGCCCATGCTACCTACCGCTCACCATTATCTGTCACTCTTGGTCACTACGTTGACCAACTTAAATCAATAAGTAACTTGTTTTACATTTTATTTCAACAGATTTCATACCTCCGCCATTTTGAAAAGCTAAATTCACTTAATCTCGATGGAAATCCGTTTTGTCAGGATGTAAACTATAAGCCTTTTACAGTAGCTCATTTGCCAAGCCTAGTGTACTTAGATTACCGTCTCGTCGATGAGCAAGTGCGAGAAGCAGCCAATGAACAGTACAAATATTCAGTAGAAGAAATGGTGCAAGATGAAAACGTGGCTCAGCGCAAACAGGAGGAATTCGAAAAGAAAGAGGCAGAACGACAACAGCATAAGGTACATAAAATAGAGAAATATTTAAATAGCTTTCAAACTTGGTTAGAGATTGCTATGCTTTATAAGGTTTATATCTTTGTAACATTAAATGAAAAGATAAGTGTTGATCCGAATATAGAGGCAATGTGCCGGATTTGTTGTAAACATTTTGGTCTCCCGAAATTTTTTGCCCGAGACACAGTGATGTAGCTTCTGTGCTGTAAAGGTACAGTCAAAATACGAAGAGGGAAAAAATTTCTGAAAGGAATTGAAGCATACAGATAAAGACTCAAGCCGTAAGCCAATCCAAGTGAATTTGGAGGGCATCGTAGATCACACTAACCAGCATCAGGCAACATATTCAAAGGTATTAATGGATGTTATTAGCGCCTAGCCTTCACGCTTACAGCATTCTCCTTATCAACTCCTACTTTTTTGTTATCAATAAAATCCTTATTTTCATTTTATTGTAGGAAGCCTATGTAGAAGACCTCGATGGTTCCTATTTGTTTGATTCAATGTTTAATGAAGATACTGAAGCATCAAAGTTGTTGAAGTTGCCAGGAGTGGATGAGCTTATGACTATATATCCTTTTCTTGCACCAAAATGTCGACGCTTTATTTCGCCGAACTTTAATTTTTTTATGCTGATTTTCTACAATGGGTGGTATAGATATGAGTCCCCTTCTCCCTTCCTCAAGTACATATCCGGATATCACCCTAACCGCCCACAAAGACTCGTTACGCTTCCTTGTTGTCATAGCACTTTTTTCCATAGGTGCATTACGCCAACCCCAAAAATATAGTTAAAAATATCAAAAATATAGTTAGTTGATCTGGTATAAAGATTGACGTTATTGGCTGAACCTTTTGTGAACACAAAAAGCCAAGTAGATGATGTGCATTTACCATATATACCATTCGGCCCCTTAGATAGTCCCGTTGACCCTAAGTGAACGATAACAACCATTCTCGAGGTCTCTATCTCTGTATGAATTTGAATATACAGCGCTTGTACTTTGTAAAAGTAAATGAACTATCCTTTTTGATACAAAATGTGTGTAAATTAACGTGAAAACCGATGAGTAAATGTATTTACTCATCGCTGTAATACTCCTTTAATAATAGCATTTATAAGTAGGGGGCGCATGTAGTCAAATTAAGGCACCTCTGTAAGCTGCAAGAACGTACTGGAAACTGGAGGCGTGCCCCCTGTGCCCACTGAATCCTACGCCTATGGCTAATAGATAAAGACTTGAGCTAAATATGATAATGTAAAACTATTCTTGATACCTAATTAAGCGAATTTCTAAACAAACCTTTGATGATGTCTTCAAACATATCCCTACAAACATTGTGGCATCTCTAGCCGACTGATCTTCTTGGTATACAATGAAGCAAAACTCGTTTTTTTCCTTAACTCTTGCTTACATTCAAAGGAAGGTTCACGAATATCTGCCAAGAGATAGCTGAATTTGGACTGAAGGAGCACCGAAGGCGTCAAAACGAGATCAAGTCATTCTTTTCCTGCATCGAAGAAGCAATCTCGTCAAATAAAAAGTCTTGTGTTGAAAGCATTGAGAACTTTGAAAATTACAAAAGAAAGGTGTCCCTTCTTTACTAAAGATATATGATACTGCTGCAGTGTTTATCCAGGGCGGCAGAGGGTTTGAATAAAATGTTTTCGTAGGCCACCCTCCTCTGGATGTTGTTAAAATGCTTTATTTTAATTGAAATAACAATATTGTCTAATATTTGCTCAAAAATGCACATAATTTTCTGACAATGCTGTATTCACAGCAATTCAGTATAGATTTTTGGGAGAGCCACAGCTCCTAGATCCCAAAGCACTGAATAGCGTATAATATTTTTCATGTTGTTATTGTATAAGGGACTGTAGAATAAAGCTGAAGTATCAAAAGCCTCAATGGTAATGATATTGATAATGGTACGCCGTGATAGCTATCAAAATTTAACGTTTTTGATAAGTTGGTTCCTTTATCTTATGCAAAAAAATGTTGCATCTAGGAATTCGCAGATATAAATACTTTAGCGGACGCAGGAATCATAGAAAAGAAGATGAAGGACATAGGAACGGAGATCACGTCTTTGTGGACCAACTTGATGGGATACGAAATGCAATTGGTGGATCAACTGGAGGTAATTTACACGCCATTCTTTTATCTGTAAATCCTTGAATGGTGGCTTCAAGAAATAGTATGCCATCTTGAACAATAAGTGATACCGAATGGTACAATATTCGTTTTATTGTTTGCTGGTGTTCGCTATTCGTTGGTCAAGTCAAATGGTCAGTCAACTGCCCCAACCCATATATAAATTTTATCTTAAATTTTGGCAAAATTTCATAAAAGACAACTGTCTATGAAACAAATCGAAGTTCCAATATTTCCACCCACCAAACAAATATTTCCTATTTATAATTGCCCCCCCCCCCTCTCTAGAAAATTCAATTAAAAAGTGTTTCAAATGTACTAAAGATGGTGCGAAAACATATTACGGAATTCAAAGAAGATTGATTTTCTTGGCCGGACTACATACTATGAATAACATTGAGACTGTGTCATTCACTCTATTTTAGGACACAATCAAAGATTTTGAGCGCAATTTTGCAGACATGGTGACGTCATTCGTTGAGCACGTTCAAGGACTGTATCCTTTGTTGTGATTCAAATCTGATAAGTGATATGTTGCTATCAGAATCAAAAATTTTATTTTTTCTGTATATCAAAGTTTTAAAAGATATATGCAATAAACTGAATCAAATTCTGAGCATGGAGACAGGTATCTAGTGATAAGAAACATTGTCAAAATGAACATCAGATCACGGGCAAAGGTTTTTAACATACTATGGATAAGCCCCCCAGACTTGACTGAAAAGTTCAAATGAGAAAAAGATGTTTCTAATTAAAAAGGAGTATTGGTTTGCTAACCCTATGACATCTGGGTCTAAAACAGCTGAAGAACTGATAAAAGAAAATTAGCTTTCAGTAGGTATACAAAAGGTGTTTTCATTGCATGTCTTATTATTATTTGGCAAAACTGGAAAAGGTCACAGTAGGCAGACTCAATAGTGGTTTACTGGACTTCTAAAAATTCAATTGCCCTTGTAATGGATTCGGTTCCTTGACTATTTAAAGAATGACCCAGTGTAGAGAGCTGGAAAATACTCACAACGAAAAACTCTCCGATATTGCAGTTGTTACTTTGGAAAAGTTTATGAAGAATGAACTCGAGGAAGAACTTCCCGAAGAACTTAGAAACGTAAGTTGATTTAGAAAGTTCAGTTACTGCCTTCCGGGGGTTTTCTGTACTTCACTATTCATGGTATATATCTGAAAAATAATGTTTGATGAGTTAAAAGATGTTACCGTTTTTGTACCCTTTGTCTTATGTACTCAGATGGCGCATTAGATGGGACAACTAAGACTTGATCACCCCTTTATCCGATGAATTTCATTTTGCAATGGTCAAATCCACATAGTTTATGATATCTCTCCCTCTTTGAAGAACCAGGTGTGGTCTTTTATATATTTATTCTCAATACATATCTGTTTCGGTTCATATCTGTTTCAGTAAGATATCGTATTCTTTTCATTTTACAGATTTTTGTCGACAAAGATACCCTTATGAATTCAGTCTCTGCGTCGCACGATGGACATCTTTTTAAAATCGATAACAAGGCGAGTAAAATGATTTGGAAATTCCATACCATAATTCCATACTAAGACATTCAACTACGACTCTTCCTTTCCTATTTTGAGAAGCATCATTTGCCAGGGGATCTTTCAGGAAAATCCTGCTAATGGAAATTTAGTTTAAAGGGGCATTTTCAGCTCGAAAAAGGGGAGAAAGTGCACCATTGGTCATAATGCAAGACTCTAGATATAGGAATTAGCAAAGAAGCTGAAACATACGTAAGATAAAATATGCGAACAGTAAACAGATATTAGAATTAGCTATTCAACCAATTTTGAACCAAAGGACTCTCAATGCAATTTGGGAATCGTGGGACAACTAATAGGGGAATCTTAGTGCTTATTGGAAATTCCTCCATTAGTTTGTTTGTTACAAGGTCCCTGTTGTTTGCTGAGATTTTGCTGATAGAATAGGAATCGTAGTAACTCTGCATTCTGTCAATGAGAAATTTTGAGGCAAATCTTGAAAGTATTTTCTCAAATTTCTCGTAAAACTCACAAAGCATAGAAATTATAGTTTCTTAGTTGTACGAAGATCCATTCCGTTTACGAAAGTTCTCTTCAAGCACTGTTTTTATCTGACTTTTCTGTGAATTTCTTCATGACAGGAAGATGAAATTGTGACAAAGGCCAATAGTGCAATGCAGACGCTGATAGAGAAGATTCATAGTGATGAAATCCACAGAAACAGATCGAGGGTTTCAGAAATAAACAATGTCATTGATCATTTCAAAGACGAACTTGATAATATTGAGCCTGGTGCAATGTAAACAAGCTAACTCTGCGCATCCAGTTGTCCGTGTTCAAGCTCCCATTCGAATTTATGTGGATAGATACAGAGACAAGGGTCAAATGGTTATGCCAAATGCCAGTTTTCTAGCACCATTCTCATAGTTCTCCTTCTGTACATTTTGTGTTGCAAATGAGTTACCTAGACTCAGCTTAGGGTCTCTATTGGTTTTCACCATCTACTGCTCAAGTTTTTTTTATGTAATATTGAAAGAATTGTGTGCAATTTAACTGTACCATGAGAAATTTCATGAAACTCTTGTGTCAAAATCGATGGTGAAACTGTAGTTTACTGATACCGTCGAAAAGCAAAAACATTCACACATAGATAGCTTGCCTTGTTACACTCAACTTTCAAATCTGAATAACGCTTGATACTGTTGCATAGTTTGATACTGTTTTTATATAAGCAATTTTCCTCATTATAATGCGCTTCCGAGGTTTTTAGAGCACCGCGCTAAACAAACCAAAAATGTTTTTTGGCCCGTAATGACAGAATCGCTGAAATCAACAGAATTGATTTTTTTATTCGGATATGGTGGGAATAACGTAAAAGGTGGACTAGGCTGGAAACATTGTACTTTGCCAATAATAGATATTCAGAGAATGTGCGCAAAATTAAATTGTTTCCAAACACGTTACTGTGCCCGTCAACCTTTTTCGCTTGTGTCAGAAAATGTTTCAAAGTACAAAAGGATTGAACAATGATTCCTTCAACTGCGGGGAGGTGTGCCTTTAGGATTGGTAAACTTCGAAAATCTGGTGCGCCAATAACTGCTATTTTGGGTGCGCAAATTTGAGCAAAAATTTTACTCTGTGTGCAGAAGCAAATTATCCAATCTGGAAGCAGCATACAGTAAATAAGTTCTTTTGTTGATTAACGTGGATTCATACGAAATAAAAATGGAGGGTGGAGGGTGCACGAAAAACCTTACAGTTACACAACCGCTTATGTCGCTAAGGTTGTTTTGAGCTGAATTGAAGCATTAACCACTTCCTTATTTTCGTTTGTGTTATTATTATGCATCATAAACCATCTGAATATATAGAGAGAAAAAAATCTGAATAGGCCCAAATCTGCAAGGCACGTTTATTGTTGGCTGTTCATCTGGCAGGTATTGTGAATTCAATTCTCCTACCTAATCTATGCAATTATTGAAAAAACTATAAAGTGCATACCAGGTAAATGAATTCGTTTAACCTAGAGATTTGGTGAAATTTCATTCCAAATTTCGTTACACAAAATCTGCCTTTTGTATCTGTAAAAAACGCATAAACTATCTACTAGTGATAGGGGACATCACACGACAAAAACTACTTTATATGGTACTAATTCTTCTTATTCCTCGGCAGAAGATGCTATGCTTTCGAAAAGAAGTTTTTTCACCAAAAGAAGTTCAAACCAGGGTTTAGTCCGTTTGTTGCAGAGCCCCGCAATGCTTTATCATGCAATGAATAAATCAGTGTAAAAATTGCTTTTTTAAAAAAAAACATGCGAATAGTTGTCACTTAGATGCACCATTATTTGTGCTGCACCAGTGATGTATCAAAAGTTAACGAAATGTATCTTTCTTGAAACCGTAAGAATTTGTAAAGGATTTTGAATTAAAACTTGACTAGAGCTAAATGATCTCGCTTCGGATCTTCAACTCCATGTTTACTAGCCAGACAATTTGGCACGAATAATGAGTTCATTAAGCAATAATCAATTACCTAATATTGATACAAGAAAAGGATAAATAAATATCGCTTTAGGTAAGTCTGTTATATAGTGCTCGATGCCGTATAGACCAGGTAACTAGGGGCAGTTGCCCGTCTCATCGAGTTGAAACAAGTCTGGCGCCCCTTTTTTGGAAATTGTGCGCGCCTTTCGAAGAATGAGAATTAGGTGAAAAAGTTTGAGAGTCCTATAGGTTAATCAACTTCAAGGATTACTTCAAAGTATACAACAAGTATTGTGAAAATCCCCTTACAAAGTGAATAGAGAGCCTTCTGCCAGTAGCTAGGTTCAGAAATTGTTGTATACCGCATACTCTCGTTACCAATTTCTGAAAATTTTTCAGCGCCCCGACTACCAACTGCCCCTCCTTCAAATTTGCTCTGGATCCGCCCCTGGTATAGACAGAGCATTAAGCGCCGTGAAATAGATGTACACGTCATGTAGAGAGAGTTTCACGTTCCTGTTCTACATATCAAAGCATGTAAGGGGAATTGAAAGTGCGAAATTGTGTTGAAAGTATTGCTTTGCCTGGAAACGTGTGATGTTAGTCGGTTTGAGAATAAACATCTCAAAGACTGAGTCATACGCTGTTACTACGGTGAATAAATTAACACAACTAGTTACAACGAGGTATAAATGGAGACATGGAGAGCCGGGCCTAACTGTTTCTCTATACATTAATAAGCATTAATAAACTTAAGTTATGAAAAAATAAGCTCACCTTTCTTTGCAATAAGTTGTGTACATTTCTGGTTGGCATTGTAAATTGAGCCATGCAGAAGGACGAAAACTTCAGAGCACCAAAATAAGGCGTCTGTTGGACTGACAAGAACAAAGAACAGCACACGAACAGATCCAACAAGACTTGACTCCTCTGAGGAAATGATGCAACAAACTGCAAGATAGGAAGACGTTTTAGTCTCGGGAGACCTAGGCTGAGCAGTACCTTGGGACCAAATGCCTTTGTTTTCGATGCACCTTGGGACCAAATGCCTTTGTTTTCGAACAATTTGTTTAAAATAAGAACAAAAGGCTTTTTCAGTCACTTCACCCCAAAAACCAAAGAACAAAAATGAAGGATGAGTTGTAACAGAACAAAATTCACAGGGAATGACCAGTAATAAGTACTTTGTAGTAAAAATCATGAATTCAAAATGGCAAGGAAGAAAGATGACAATTTTTACATTTAGTGTGTTATCATGATTCCGCTTTTTGAGTAACAAAAAAGCTAAGAAAGGCGAATTTAAACTGATGAAGTGGAAAAACTTGAGAAAAAATTACTTTCTTGAAAACATAACAACAAAAAGTAACAGTGAAAAAAGGCACAAGTTTGGTAACAATATTGCTTGCGGTTAGAAGAAAATAAAGTTATGATAAAAGTCCACTCATTCAATACTATATATGGCAAGTCTTGAGAAGTATAAAATCAATTTTTCTTATATCTATCCATCGCTTGTCTTTTTTGATTGAAACATTAAAATACACCATTTAATATTTCATTCTTTTTCAAAAGCATTACGAGATTTTCATTTTACAAAAGCCTCTCTGATCACTAACATATGCAAAGTCTCCTTTCCACTCTTTCTTTGGGTTTCAAACAGAAAAACGCGAATAACAAAGCCAGAAATTTAGGTGCAAATGCTTTTTATAAACTTTCAGACAGTTAAGTAGAGAAGTAAAAATGACAATCACGTTTTTAAAACTCTACATCACAAAAAGTATTGCCCTTTCACATCTGAAAACAGACTAATTCCCTCAACTAATGATGTTCAAAAATATGTAAAAAGTTGAGATATTTCAAGGTGTCGCCAACGGATACAGTGATTTATGACCTTTGTTTCCAGTCAAAGGACAGAAATAAAAGGACAGAAGTGAAAGGGCACTTAAACACTAAAATACATAATTACATAGAAACTTTCTTTTTGCACGTGCTTTACAAAAATCTAAGCAGACACATAGGCCTTTGTCGAAATCCCTTGGTATATCATGTAAGGAGTAGCTGAGTGTTGTCTTCCAAATCATCGTGCAAATCTTTGCAGAGCTTTACGCCTACTGCAGTGAGCTAATTGGTTTTACAATGAACATTTTTGGGTTTCAGCATTAAGGAAAACAAACATGTCTTTGGACAACTTAGTAATGAACGCAGTTAAGAGATCTAAGTACAATTTTGACTGGAACTATAACTTAAAGGCATTCAACACAGGCAAAAGTGGCCTACAGCCACTTGACCCCCAGCAGTCGGCCAATCGAATTGCACACAGAAAAAACATGTGAACAGTTTCCACCTTTCTGCAAATCCGGGAAACCCTAGAGCGACTCACAGTGGTTTCATGTAAGTACTTTCACACTCTATCCAAACGCGCGTGCTCTGATCAAGTTAATTTTGGATTCGCTGTACTTATGCATGTCAAATGCCTTTAAAGATGTAAGACGTATAACAGCTCGAAAAGGGCAGGAATTCAAGCAAAGGCCCTTACATAAAATACTTAAAAAGTTACTTCCTTCATACGCAAATCATTTAGAAATCACCAAGATATTTACTCCATTACAATCATCAACACTACTTAACTACCCGATATACATGCTTTAAAAACATACTTATGATAACAAACAACAGCGAATATAAGTGCGCAGTGCTCTAAAAAATAGAGCTCCATTTGAAAATGTTTTCCTAATAGAGATAATATACAGATAAGGAAATCCCCAAATATGAATTTATATCTGGCTTAAGTTACCTAGAGGATGGAAAAATAGAGATAGCTTCGAGTATTTGGTTTAGCATTGTTTCACGTCTTTATTGCTTTCATACCTAAACTGCTGGCACACTTAAGAAAATGGTATTCGCAGAATCAAATTTAAGTGCTAAGAACGGGAGATTCCTTTTATTAATATTTTTGCGCGGTGCAGCAAAAATGCAACCTTCACAAAACTCATCTACAATGATAAGTTCTTATCTAAAAACCTACTTTCTCAACAGGAATTGGAGAAGTTAATACGTGGGACCTGCCCTGCTAATCTTAGACATCCTTTTGCTGCCATCTCTCTGCTTTTTGACAGCGTTGCTTTTGTTACAAACTTTTTGGTGATCGGTAAACTCGTTTTGTTGGCAACGTTCAGAACAGTAGCCTCGCACTAAGCATGTCTCGCAATGAATTTTCGCCACAATACCGCATGGACAGAACAAACTGTAGCCATCTACAAGCAAGACATGAGATTTAACAAAGCTGTAATACTAAGAGGTAGTACGTAAGAATGAATGCCTAAAAATGTTCTCTAGATATCACTTTAGTAAGCACCGCTGATTTACGAAAGAGAAATGGCCTGTTTGACAATTTCCTATGTCTTAAAGAAAGCGGTGTACTTACAGTTTCAAGTTGCAACACCAAGTTTCAGGGCCTATAAGTTATAATCAGGACCTACTGTAATTCATATAGTGTCAAAATAGAACATAACGATCATTCACATTTTACATTTATTCGAGTGTCAGGCTTGCAGTATACACCATCTTTTTAAACAAGAACTAAATGATTCTTGCTGAAGCTCTCTGTACTTATTTCTCGGTAAACTAGAGCCTAGAGTGTTCTTAATGGCCAATACTGAACTTACCTGTTCCATGCAAAACTTTTGTCCTTATAGTCTTCTTAAATATTTCCTTTACTTTAACATCAACTTCTTTGAGAGGATTAACACCTTCTAGTTGAGAAGTCAGGAAAACAAATTTCTCTTTGCCAAGGAATGTTTTTCCGGTTATGGCTGCTCTGAGGTCCTCGAGTGTCCCATTGACATTCACGACGATGCTGCTTACAAAATGCAACACGCTGATGCCCTCTTGACGCAGTTGTTTTATTTCCAATGTTTTATAAACAGGCTTGTCGTCTGCAAAGAAGATGACTTTGCTACAGTTTTCTTTGGGACTTATGTCAGGAAAATGCATTTAAATGAATAACACAAAAGAAATTTAAGAAGTGTTAAGAAGAAGGGCCCGCCCTATTTTGACATTTTGGAAAAATTGAAGCAGTTGACAAAAGTATCGCAACCGGTAATTCATGTACCTCAAGTCATGGAAAGTAGCAATTATAATCATAATTATAATCATAACTGATTCTCTAAGCACCTTCATAATCCTCAACCGAACTCGGTTCTGGGGTCGGTACATTCGGGTGCATTTCATAATTTGTGTTTCCCTCCTCTGATATTTCTGCTAAATTTTCCATAGACGAGCACGCAGCAACCAATGGTACTTCAAGATTTTCTGGGCTTGCTCGTCCTTTTGTACTCGATTCCTTTGTGGATGAGATTCTTTTCATAAGAACATCAGTTGCGTCGTACTTTGGTCCCGCTGATCTTGGCCGTGCTCGCCACAAATCTTCGCCCTGCTTTGATTCTGCACCAGCTGTGGCTGGCCTACTTCCTGGGGCAGCAGCCACGGTTGTAAACACAGGAGCCTACAAGGTAAGCCAAAGTTGTTGAATACAGAATCTGAGGATAATTTGCTACAAATATGTACTTATATCTAGTGAATAATTTTGCATTAGGGGCATTAACCACATAATAAAGAAATCCTGAAAGAAATGACTAATTTTACTTCCGGCACCTAAAAACAACTTATGGACCTATGCAACTTTAGAGGGTGCAAGAATTAGAACTATATTGCAGGAATTCTATAGAATGTGACTTAATGGAAAAAGAAAGACTTATAAAAACGTACTGCTCTTGGGGAACATTGCAAATCCTCGTCATGCTGATAAACCGGGTTGTCAATGGCAGTTTCCTTCATGTTGTTTTCCAGAGGAGCAACATCGTTGAAAACAACTTCAACGAACTCGTTCTTTTTGGCCGGGCTCTGGGTTGCAGAGTAACCGTACATAGGAGCCATGTGCAACGTGTCTTCATTACTCTTTTTCTTATCAAATCTGGAATTATCTTTCTCTAAAGATCTCACCTTTTCTGACCTCAGCCTCTTTTTACGATAGCATACAAATATGGCGACCGCTATGAAAACCAATATAATAAAAGCAACAATGACTAAAATGATTATCAAAGTCTTGTTGTCGCTCGTTGCAGCCTTTGGAGGAGGAATCTTCTCTTGTCCATCAACTTTCAATGTCTGGTGAGCGACCATGTTGTTTGATTCGAATGTGAAGGTCAGGCCCCTCTTGACATCGTTTGAAACATCATCAATAAGTGTATTCTCTTGTGATTGGATTACAGTGACATTAAAGTCTACTATAATACTCCCTGCTTTGATTGTGACGCCTGACACCGCTACAGGTCGGGATGATGTCTTGTATTTTGACTCAAAGAATGTCTTAAATTCGCTGATAAATTTAGCTTCTTTTCCAACGACCTTGCTGAAGTCAGCGTTGAACTTCAAACTCATTCGTTTCGTTACTGTTTGCGAGGTGCACAGATTGTTCTGGGACGTAAAATTCGCGCTTGTTTGTGGCCTAAACGAGTCGAAAACATCAAGAGTGATACCAGTGGCGATCGTTACAGAGGTCTTGCTTCCAGAAATAGTTGCTGGCTTTACGAATGAAGAGGCCACTTTGGATCCACTGCTAGTTGAAGTGACAATGACAAGGGTCACACCGACTCCGTTCTTGGTTAGCTTAGGCTTCACACTTTTCATCTCAAAGTTTCCATTACTTGCTTTCGTCAACTCAAATACCCTGCCGTATCTGTATGCACCAGAGCTCAACGTGAACGATTTGACGCCGGTTAGGCCTGATGCCGTAAGCTCTGTGTTGAATGTACTGTCTTTGTAAGCCATAACAACAAATGCTCGGGTATTTGTTGCTGCTGTTTGGTCTTTGTTCTTAAGCGACGCAGAAATGACAAGGTCACAGCTTGGAGCCGATGGCGGTTGAACTGTGAAGGAGGATATAAGCCGGGAATAACCTACCAAGACATTTAGCAAGAATGACGCATCATGGAAGTCGACTACACTGTTCTGGTCGACATCCATGGAGGATTTCTGAACTGAAGAAAGATCATTTTGAAGTGCCTTTCCAATTGGTGATGCAAAGTTTGTTAGCAATTCGCGAGCATATGTTTGTATCAGAGCAGCATCTAGAATGTTAACAGAACAATCTTTGTTAACATCCCCCAGGAAGACGGCAGCACAAGCAGGGCCTTTGGCCTTGGATGGGATTTCCTTGCCAGCTTTGTCAGCAATTGTAACATTTTTCGGAGTCATGGTTGTAGAGGTGCTAAACAGTCCTGTAAAAGTCAAATCGGCAATCTTTGGGATACCCGTCGTTTTGCTGTTGGTCTTGACGAGGCCAATGAGACGAACGGTACCACTTCCTGGAACAGCTATCAGGTCGCTCGATGCACTGTCATACCTGACGATTCCCTTGTCGTAGCTAAAACGAGATGAAATCAAATTAATGCTTCTGTTTCTCTGTTTCTGTTTGTTACTTAGCTACTAACTCACTAATGAGTACATACGCTAAGGGTCTGTTGTTGATTCCTGATTACCACTGCACGCCTCTATTCATGCGAAGCTGTCTCGACATTCAGCATGAGCATCGTTACAAAATTTGCAGAAAGGCAAAAATTGACAGCATTCTACATTCAGAGAGATGGAAGGCTTCGAACTATATATATTTAAACGAAAGTCTCCGTAAAACAAGATCCTAGAAGTGGTATCGACTTCTTCAAGTAAAACTGACGACGAACCGTGGTTCAAAGTCGCTGCAAATTTGATATCGCTAACAATACATTTTCAACGAAATTTTCCAAAGTCAAGAGAGCTAGGCTACCTTATGGTGACATCAATGCCTTCTAAGTCCTGGAAAGCGACATTTGCATACACAGGGACAACCTTGCTAGATCCTGACACAACTGTCACTGGCACACTTGCTCGGCTGGAACCAACATAGACACTGCCTGCGCCATAGCTGGCACCTGACCTTTCATTGTAAAGCACAACTTGAACAGGAGTCGTTTTTGGACCAGGATTCCTACCGTCATCTTTGACCGATATCTCAAGTGAGTAGAATGGATCACTTGGAACTTTTGCGAGTTTCACTTGTCCTGGAAGATAAAAGAGGACAATTGATAAGTTTTATTTCAAGAAAGAGTTCTTAAATTTCGCACAGGGTGTACTGAAAGTTTAGAATGTCTCGAAAACCAGGAAAGTGATAACAGCACAGTGTGAAATAGAATGATGAATTGTAGCTTGAATCGAAATGTAGATTGATTACAAAGACAATTGGAAAAGATCTCAAGAAGAAAAGATGGAACTAATTAATGTTAAAACTAGAAACGATTGCAAAAACGATCATTTGGCAAAAAATTGCAAAAAAGAAAAATCTATGAACATAAAAATATCATAAGAGAAAATAGAATGTAAGTTAGGTGTGAAAAGTCTGGGAGTCTGACAAAAAGCTACTTAACCGCAACAAGGATAGCCATTTAGAAAAAGCTATTATTAACAAGAAGAAGAAGAACAGTTTTAAAGGAACATCATTTCAACCGAAGACAAAACTGAAAAGATAAAACAGTTAAAAAAGGAAATGCCAAAAGGAAATATTTTTTCTGCGGTACAGAACTTGAAATTGGCTTTGAAGAAGCAAAAATTTCACAACATACTAATTTAAAGCGTTTTTGTCTGTATAATGGTCATGTGCTTGCGTTTTCTGATTGGCCTATTTCGATATGCAACAGGGTATATATTTTCCATCTTGTTCTTTCGGAACCTTATTCTGACATTTTATACTCTGAGGAGTGTCAGACGAAAAAGCTTCAAGTTAGTATGTGGTGAAAATGTTTTCAAAGCCATTTAAAAGGAAATAAGTTTACCTGTGATAGTATCTAAAGTGAAGACGTCGTTAGTATTCCCTGAGGTTATTTGATATGAAATATTGCCATCTGGTCCATAATCAGCATCAGTGGCATTCATCTTCAATAAGGTATTGCCAACTACTTCACTTGAGCGCAGCAACATTGTAATCTCATCTGCATGTCCAAGCGAAGGCGCATATTCGTTGATCGCTATTATGCGTAGAGTGACATTCACTGAGTTATTCAAAGCTGTTGGTTGTCCTTTGTCCGTCACAAACACGCTCATTTGTATTGTTTTGGAGAGAAGGCTTTGCGAATCAAGGTCAAGATTTGCAAGCGGAATGAAAGCACCGGTTGCGGCATCGAGTCTAAACAAAGCTGATGCCCCTGACGTCACAGAATATTCCAACTGTCCATTGAGACCGGAATCTCTGTCAGTTGCTGTAACTGAAACTGCGGGGGATCCTACAGCAGCGTTCTCGGGAACATCCAGCAAATATGAAGGTTGGTTGAAAAGAGGCCTATTGTCATTGACGTCAGTAACATCAAGTTGTACAGTGAATGTTGACGTTTTAGGCGCACTATTTGACGGATTGTCCGAGGCTGTTATTACAAGGGTGTACTTCGCTTGCGTTTCATGGTCGAGTGCGCTCTGCAATACAAGATGTCCACCACTGATATTGAATACGTTGTTCACATCTCCGCTAGTGATCCTGTACGTGATGTTGCCATCTTGACCTGAATCAGAGTCCGTTGCACTAACAGGTGTGATGGCCGAACCAACAGCTATGTCTTCTCGTTTTGAAACTGTAATCGAGTTGGAGGCAAATGTCGGTGTGAATTCGTTCACGCGGGTCACGCGCACATAGACGTCGATATCAACGGATTGCTGTACCTCGATTCCGTTATCATGTACATTCATTTGGAAGTGATAAACAGGCTCTGGCTGTTCTGTATCGTCCAAATCCAAGGACACTAAAAGAGATTATCAACATATGGCTACATCAAACTTAAGCTACATGATTCTCAGAAAAGTTGCCTGATGATTGCGTTGAGCATAAAACGCGGAGTAGAAACTTAGAACCGTCCAGTTCTAAACACCAAAAGCGGGCACAGCTCTGCCTATATGGCGCCGAGGACTTTACGACTAACAGGTAAATATAACAGTAATTTTCATGATATGAATTTACAAGTCTCAGTAAACATACCCTGGTAAGTTTAGAAAGCGGCAAGACATAACAACATAAATTTATCAGCAAGACCGACTTTATTGGCTTATAAGTCGACAATACATATTAACACAAGACAAAACTTTTCCTAGCCTAAAGCTGCACAAAATCGAAGTTATAAACGATAGACAGTAGGTTTTTTTAAAAATAATTCGTGATTATTTCATAAACTGATTGGTAAGATGTAAGGTATTCAGCTAAATTATCGAAAAAGCACAGAAAGACTTCTCAGCGAATTTTGGCATGATATCATAAAGGTATAGGCTTAGGAAAATTGTGGCTTATAACCGTCCCTGGAGTTGACTATCCTGTAAATATCTGCTTTAAGGTTAAAGTTAATTATATATTTTGGGTTTATAAACAAACCTTTAGCAGTAAACACCCCGGTGTTGCCATTGAGATCGAACTTTGCACTGCCATTTGATGACTTGATTGTATACGTTAGCCGTCCGTTCTCGCCTGCATCGGGGTCGGTTGTGCTTACATTGAATGCAACCTGCCCCGCAGCGACTGTTTCTGGAACTGTAATGTTCAACACTGGCCAGTCATACTTGGGTTTGTTATCGTTGACATCCAGCACATTTAGTGTGAGAAGGTGGTCTTGGGTGTAGAAGAACGGGGATGGTGCGCTATCACTCACTCTAACTGTCATGGAGTAGGAGGAGACATTCTCACGATCAAGTGCAGTTTGCAAAGCGAATACTCCACTTGAAGGGTTGATATTGACCAGCCAATGAAGCGACGACTCTCGCAGCTCGTACTTCAGCGTTCCAGCAATGCCTGTGTCCTGGTCGGTGGCTACAAAAGTGTGCAATGTTGCCGGTGTTGTTTGGTTTTCATAAACACTTATAGTACCTGGAGTTGAGCCATCGAAAACTGGGCGATAGTCGTTCTTGAATCGCACGTCGAACGGCAAGGAGACAACCTGAATAGAAAATTGGAATTTAAACAAGAACTAAGAGTTTTAAGTTAACCTGCTAGAAAGAGTTAGAGGTAAAACTATCGTACTAAGAGTTAAAGTATAATGAAAATACCATAATAAACAAAGACACAATACAGGAATGGAAAACAAATAGTTTGTGTGACAAACCAACTAAATAAAAAGACATTTGTTGCATAGCCTAGCCAGGAAAGCCGGTGATGATATTGCACTTGCATAATAAAATGATTTGTATTATTACATTAGCCATCGGTGCCCCACAGCTGTAACTCAAATGAAATTACCTATGATGGCACAGGGCAGGTGCTTGTTCTGGAACGGGTCATTTATTGCAACGACTATCAGAAGCTAAAAAAACTAGTAAAAAGTAGGATTACCTTGTGGCCATAATTCGACGTGAATTCTAAAGTGTATCCAACTCCGTATCCAACAATGCGAAGATCAGTAAACGACGCCAATTCGTTTGCAATTGTGATGCCTTTTGTGCCAAGCAAAGATCCGTTACCAGCCCCATTGCTCTTTATACTGACAGTGACATTCCAGTGAGTCTTAAGCGGTTTCGCAGCACGATTGGTGCCCAGATCTCTAACCTCAATTACAGGCTGCTGTCCGAAAACAACTGAATCGTTCACGTTGCTGGGTGGGATTTTCACTGCTAAGTAGAACTGCCTCTGTTTCACGTCAAACGTGTCCGATACTAGAGACATGTTTGCAAATCGAGGATTTGGGGGATTGATAAGCACTTTGAAAGCGAGGCGATATCCAGAAGCTACATCATAAAAGTTAAGATCGGTAAACTGGATGAGCCCCGAAGCAGGGATTTTGAAGTACGTTGTTCCATTCAGGAGAGAATTGGCGCCACCCGCATGCATAGAGGCATTTATGTACCAACTGCTTCCTTTCCAACCAATATTGCCTGCCAATGCATCAGGATACCGCGATCTGATCTCTAAAATCGGCTGCCTGCCGCAAATAACAGTATCGTTACAGTCACCTGGTTGTTGGGCGATTCTCAAGTACAACTCTCGTTCCTTTACGTCAAATGCGACGGATGTGAATGTAGCCGTATACCTGGATGACGGGGTTGTTGAAGCGATTAAGCGCAGCTGATATCCTTTTCCAGGTGAGTCAATACTCAGGTTTTTAAATGTCCCGTATGCGCCAATGAACTCTACCTCACTGCCGCCCATCAAGCTTGCGCCAGAGTTTCCGTTTTGTAGAAGAGTAGCGGTAAACAGCCATTTCCTGCCTTTCCATCCTGTGTTATTAACAAGCTCACCGTTCGCAGCATCACGCACTACAACTTGCGGTTGCATACCAAAAGGAACGGTTTCATTTGCGTCTGCTGGTTGCTGCAACAAACTGAAGAACAGAACTCTTTCCTTGATCTCAAAGGCCTGCGATTCGACAGTAAATGTCAGATTCAATGGATAACTAACTTTGAATTTTAGCTTATATCCCGTTCCGCTATGAGAAACAGCAATGTTTGTGAAATTAGCGGTTCCGTTTATGAACTCTACGGTGGTGTTACCAAGCACTTGCGCACCCGCATCTCCTGTGCCAGACACGATCGCGACGGTGACTCTCCATCTATCAGTTTCACGTCCTAGGTTCTTGACCCAACGATCCAAAGCATCATACATACGCAATTTCGGCTGCACCGGGAACGGTACAGTCTCGTTGCTATTTGTTGGTTCCGCAATGAGCATCAGCTTCTTTGGGATGTAATACTCAACTGGTTGCACTTCTACTTCTGTGTTGGTTGCCTTCTGGTCATAGCGCGTGGTACTGTTGGTCCCATTTGTCACTTGTACTGCAAAAATAGGAAACATAATCGTTGAAAAATGCACGAAATTAATAAAAATCTAAACTATTAGCTAAATTCAAAAATTTTCTATTGATTTAAAAATGAACAACTCACAAAAAAGCATTTTGCGCTGTGGGTACAAAAAGAGCCCCGTAGCTTTAAAAGTAATATGTGAATAGAGACTCACCGGTTTCGTTAGTAGCCCGCACGCCTCCGGTCGGATCAACAGGAGGTGGAGTCGGTTCAGTAACAGTGATAACACCAACATCTAGGCCAGTAGCGTCCGCCAGAGCACCGGTTTGAGAGCTTTGGACAACTTTGGTTGTGATATCTTGTAGCTGCTCATATGATGTCTGATTAGCTATTTGCAAAGATTAAAAAGAAAATCAAAAATCAAGCACTAAATGTATAAAAAATGATTGAAAAATGTTTCAGCATAATGAAAGCATTATTCCAAGCTTAAAAACTGGTACAATCTGCTGTTTTAACAACTTCAAGGGGGTATTGCTACAAAAATTTTGGTAATTTTGGAGTGCATTCGGTTATACAGAATTTATAATGTGCTCAAACTGTTATTAATGGGGTTTTGCACAAATCTTCAATTACATGCTCACATGTAACTTTTCAGCCATAAACAGTCATTTTGAATTCCAGATTTCAATTCATGCAATCTGATATAATGATCTAATATTTTTGCGACAATTCATTTTAGCGATTATAGTTAGTGCAACCAAATAATCAAGCATAAATAGCAAATCCTGAAAATTTGCGATATTTAGTGTCTCTCTTTCGAAGATCTTCATCTCCTTAATCCATGCAATAATTCATGCACTTAAGCATTCTTCAATTAAGCAACAGATGGCCTAGTGTATCATAAAATCTAATCAATCAATGTAATCAAATCTTGCAAGAATATATGTAATTAACTAACTTACCTGTGGAATTTGATTGTGTTAAATTTCCTGATTGCGGTGGATCACCAATTTGGACCTAGATATCGAAAAATCAATCGCATAACACTACCAGAATTCGAAACGGTCTATTCATTCACACTTGATACAGTGGAATAGATTTCCAATAGCACATGACCTCTATTTTCAAAGACAAATCTGCCATCAAAAAAGCTCCATTAAAGAAAACACGATAACAAAAAATATCACTTTAAGCAAGTTACTAAGCACAAGCTTTGATGAAATCCTAAGCTCTTTATTATGCTTAATCATGCCTCCATGTTTGTCTATTGTTAATAAGTCATGACGACATCATGTGTAAAAGAAATGTGTTAGTAAATAATAACGTGTAATCGTACATCGATATAGGAGAGATCAGTTGATCGCTTGCGTCTGGCTCCACCCGCGGAAATCACATCCATCACTCGAATTCTAGACTTGTCGATTCCAAAGAGAGCAGCCAAGTTGTTTACCAGATTCTTCTTAAAGAAATCATCCCCGCTAATAGATTTCGAGGAAACGCCCATTTTTAGCTGAAAGAGGTAATACGAGTTATTATTTCTTTAGTATGAGAAGCAAGCTCAAACTTGGTTAACAATGTACAATTACTACCAGGAGACTATGTTAATGCTGATATGGTGCAAAAATAAAAATAAAGATTTATAGCTATTAAAGGAAGGAAAAAGTAAAAGAAATATATTGATCAAACGGAAAAAAATTGGGACATCGAGCACATGCATGCCACTTCAGCTTTTAAAGAACAAACAATTTTTCGAGTCATTTCTAATTAAGCATGAATCTCCCCTGTGATAGGAAAGCTATCGTGAAAAACAGTCATTAAAAGGGTGATAAAAAGATAATAAACTCCTTAAAGCAAATGACAATTTCATTTCCTCACGCAAAAACTCTGCTAAAGCAGACTAAACTATATTAAAGACGGTTTTCAACATTAATTTTTTTTATGTCATGACAAATATCGGCATTTTATAAAGATGGCTTTACCTGTATGATATTTGACTGTCTGATTTCGAAAAACTCGGGTCCCTTGACAACGATATACAAGATCTTTTCCTTGCTGTCAAAGTAGTTCAAGCCCGGATTGCCATCCAAGCCTGGCACAAACTGGTCTGCTGGTTTTGTGGGGTCTTTAGAGATAAGCTCAAAATTTTCACCTTCGTATTTTCCATTGGTTGGCATTATGTAGCTACCTGAAGAAGGCAAGAAATTTGAACTCGTAAAATGGTATTATAAATGCATGCAGCGTTAGTAAAAATTAAAGCAGAGTAGCACATGTTGTGACTAAAATGGTACAAAGCAGCATCCCGTCCCAGCATCCTTTGTATATCTTAGCAATGTTGTAAGTGTCTTAATGGTTTTTGGTGACAGTTTGTTCTCTGTCGCATGTCCGACGTAGTGTCTGATGTTAGGGATATATAGTTTTTAACAATTTTCTTTCATGGTGTGGTTGAAAATTTTTGAATTTCTTCTTACCCACTGACATTTATTGCCAAATATTGGAAGTGCATCTCTTTCATTAAAATAATGTTTTCTTCCTTGTCTTATATAATTTTTAAATGGCAATGAGTGTCTTTTCCCGCCATGATAGGCACAGTAGTTTTTTAGATATTTGCTATCTTTTAAGTGGTAATAAAAAACTTGAATGTTGAACGTTCGAAAATGTTTCATGACAGATTTTCTGCTTCAAAAAAGAAAAAGCATCTCAAAGACAATGTTACGTTGGAATTTGCAATACTTTCACACAATTTTATTCATTTGCCATAATAATTTGTAACTCGCTGTTTTTAATATAAGTCACCGAAATTCAGTTGATTTCTCAATTTCTCAAGAAGCATAATCATGTGATGGGTACATTAAGGGTTTCCCCTGAATCAAGGCAACTTTAGCTATTACAATACATCCTAAATTAGAGTGCAAAGGTAGGTTGGTAAGATTTAAAGTGTAAAAAAACAAATTACTTTAAAATGTCTGCAGAGAGAAATGCATTTTTAGGTATGAAAAAGTGATTGGAGAACAAGATCAGTTTTCATCAGACTGCATGACAAGCTTGCAGTTAGAATTTTCAACTAACTTTTAGCTTCTAAATTCCACTTAACATTAGTAAAAAATGCACATCCAGTATGGGATTATATTTTAGATCTAGTACTGAAGTGGCAAAGAAAGAAGAGGTGTATTAAGAAGTATTACCTCTCCAGTAAACATCAAGCCGCTGAGGTTTAGCATAGTAAACCTTCATTAAGACGGCATCCTTCATCTCACTGTTGAGAAGATGTAGTCGCAGCTTGTGTGGTCCGTAGCTGGTGAAATGAAGATCGTAGCTGAGCTGTGAGGCAACAACAGAGTAAAACGTGGAAATTCTTTCTTGGCATGTATATCCAAAGCACCAACCATGGTCCATGGGTCCGTTGATTAGATCAATGTAACCGTTAGCGGCAATGCCGACTGGAGATAGCCTTCGCGTCTCTGTGTCTTCATCCACACTTTCAATTACCAGGAAGAAGTAATCAAGACTTGTGCATTGGTAAGCAAAATAGTCGTTGCGGAACGTGCAGAAGCTTTTGTCCCTGGTGCCACGCACGATACCTTTGTGTGGGTACTTAGTATCTGCATCAATCCTGGTACCATCTAGATTGGCCAACATTGTCCTGGGTATTCTGTAGTTTCCTATGGTGCGAAATGAATGTTTGCTTAATGAAGTTGCCTGGCTTTGTCGCCATTAACAGGCTTGACATTCGAAGCTCAAGAACTTAAGTCAGCATTTCTCTGTCTATATAGCTTTAGTATAAGAAAACGGATACGTAAAAAGCAAATGTTTTTGCATGAATGCATAAAGGCAGAAAAATCAAGCAAAGTTACCAAAGGTTTTTGATAATTCTTAAATAGCTTTGGTTTATTTTACAAACAAGCAAGAAGTTATCTGTTTATGACAAGTAAGAAATCAATAAATATAAAGGAAAAGTTTACCAAGTCCAAATGCACGATTGCCATCCCATTGGTATTCGGATTTAGAAATGATGCTGCCCCCTGCTGTACCGAACATCGATCCATCAACGTCTTTAATAAGGACCTTCCTCAATGCATCACAGTCCATGTCGACACAGTCAGAAGGGTTGATATATTTCAAGGAGGGGGTCTGATGGTGAAGCTTCATTCCCTCTGTCACATTGATAAGGGTTATTTTTTCAAGGGTCATTGGATGGTTGATGTCTCCACTTTTCGGGTTATTGTGGAAAATGACATTTTTCTTGTCATTGCAAGGGACGAAATTTGCAAATGTGGTTCTGTTGTATATCACGTGTCCACCAATGGCCGGGTAGGACATTGGATCGTCCCAGGGCATAAATGGCCCTGGTGATATACCCGAAGCAAAGTTTGATAAGATGGCTCCAGTCATGCCACCTGCAACAGATTTATAAAGAAGAGTTCAAGACGAGTTCCTTCAAGAAATAGGCAAAAGGGTATACACAGTTAACATGCAATACCAATAAAAACCAGCGGAGAATGGTATGAATTGCTTCGAGTAAGATCAATAAACCTGCTCGGTGTTGATTTACGTGAAGTATTGACCTTGAGTTTGATAAGCAACAGAAACACTGATCTGCATATAATGAGCTAATAAATACGATGAGCTAATAATATTAACGATGTGAGTACATAGCACTAAGGTATCACGAGTAAATAGAAATTAAACATCTAATGTTTGGACTTGATACAATATCAAAATGATATCTGAACACAGCATGGAAAAGATTTGCTTTGAGTTTGCATTGGCATGACATCATATCAAGTACCTAAGACGATGCTGAGCTACGTGGGTACGTGTCCTTCCTGTATGGGACAATCAGTCTGGGGACAATAGCAGGCATTCAAGATCAATTATCTGTAAGTTAATCTTAGTTTCAGTTGTTGAGAGAGGGTAATCAAGGATATACCTGACTGTGTTTGGTTTTTGATAAAAGAAATACTCAGAATAAAACTCACCGTTCTTGGTTCTTGATGCCCGATTACCGACAAGTGTTGCAGGCAAGGGTCTGATGAAGTCATAATTGCAGTCAAAAGATGGACTCACGCCAACAAGAAGTGAATCTTGGACAACCACAAATTTATTCAACCTTTTGTGACTTGTAGCTGGTGGCAGGCCAACGAAAAGAAATAGACTGATTCCATTGTCGGCAAATATATTGTTAGTGACTTTGAGACTGGCAGGTCCAAAGCTGAAAATTCCATAATCATAGTTTTTCCACAGATAGAAATTCGAAATGCGTGCGCATTCAGGCATACGAGCTTTTGGAGGGACATGGATTCCATGTACGCAGGAATGTGCCTCGTTATGACGCCACAATGATTCCGCCGCAGTTGTGTCGCAGTCTTCACCAATAAGAGCAAAGCCAATTTTCTCACTGCCAGCAACGACGTTTCCAATCATTGTCGTGTTTTTAGAGAAAGTGACTTCGATACCTCCGGTCCAGAACTGATCAAATGGTGGTTTAAGACCTTTGAAAGTATGTATTGCCAGCAAGTAGACAACCAGGTTCCTGAGAATTCTGTTGTCGGATCCCTTGTTTCGGATGCCTGCACCAACGACGTGATGGAGTACGTTGTCTTCCACTAACAATTTGTCAGTTCCGAAAATTCCTATTCCAGAGCTGAACCCATCGTGAAATGAGCTGCCTCGCACAAATGACTCGTTACCTTGGATTTTTCCCAGATTGACAAATGAAAGGGCAAACCTAGAGAGTAAAAAAGAACGGACATCATGAATAATATTTCTTTATAAGAGTAGAACACCGTTGCTATTACTATTACGACGGCTTTGATTTATGTCTTTTCTTAAACTTTCAGGTAAGAAAATGGGAAAAGGATTCAGTAAAGCAGATCAGTAAACAGAGACTAAATAGATCGCTCATTATCAAATGCGTTAACAAAAGTGTCGAATTTCGCCAGAAGTCAACATATGAAATCCGCCAGCTGGCATGCTACTGTCCAAAATCTGCAGGAAACGATGTTTTTTTTCTGTGAACGATGAAGGGCCACTTGGACAAATCGAGATCCATCAAAATGCAATACGACCTTGACTAATAGAAAAAAGCATCTACAAAATTTCTCTGTTTACCAAATACGTCACATGGTGGAAAAGGAGTAACGCAAGGATAAAGGTTGAAAATATCAGATTCATTAAAATGCTCCAATTCACCTAGGCCGCTGGGAAAAATTAAGGTAGCTTTAACACCAGAAAAAACTGCAATGGGTTTGAACAAAGAAAAACAAACATAATCAAAGATTTACTACACAGTGATAAAAAGGTAGGATGGAGACGTCTTCCCAGACAGATACTTTGAAATTTCTTTTACCAAGTGACATGTTCTCTTTCGTTGCATTGGATACACTAATGGGATGCTACATTTTGTAATGTCTCTTCTACTTTTCAATGCTTGAGCACAAGAATGCTAAGTATCAGGATAATAACAGCATTTGTAATACTGACATCCTGTTGATAAAGTCAAATATCATAATTTTTATGGCATCTCAATTGTCCCACGTACCTTGGGTCATAATCCTCATTCCAGCCATATTGGCCACAGTTTTTGAACTGCACATTTGATATCATGGCCTTCCCACGGTAACTGACACCAGCGTCGATGTACGAACCAACAAGCACGCGACATCCGAACGACTCCTGACCAAGTGAGCCGGCAGGATAGTCTCCTCCTTCAATTACAACGTTTCTTGTGAGCAAGCCAACTTTAGCTGCCATCCTTAGCATTTGTTTGCCAACAAGATACCTACCGCCGAGATGCCGATGTTTAAACGTGCCTCTGACTGTGATTTCTCGTCCATTGTCTGAAATGCAAAAAATCGCCAAGATTATTACAGGTAAAAGTATATATATCAACATGAAGTATAAGTAGATGGCTAGGGTCGATAAATTCTTTAATTTTCGGGAAAGAAGTTGAAGTATTCAATATTTTCTTTGCTCAACATCAGCACAAAAAGAAACTGAAATCTAAGAGTGGGGATGTCGAAGTAAACATTCAAAATTAGGGCAATGAAATTATCGATAAAAAATTAATCATTAAAAAGAATAATAACACAACTAGTTCGTGCCAAAATGTCATTGGAACTTCCTAAACGATTAACATTGACTTTGTAATGTCATATTCCAGCTTTCTGTTTATTCAATATAGGATAAATTTAGGTAGCAAGGTTTGTGGCTTCTGCATAAAACAATTGACTACATTTTGAAATCCACCTGCTAAATGTGTATTTTCATAAAAGAAGCTTTCTCAAAAATTCATTAGGAAATTTTTCCGAGACTCAAAACTTTTCTTCATCAAAAGTAAGAACATTCAGGTTAGAAAAACCACATTAAAAATTACGTTACATGATTCGATCAAATAACAATAATTGAAATTAGCAAAAAGAGCTCCAGTATTGCTATACTTGCTAATTCTATATATAAAGCAACTTGATTATGTGGACCATTAACTTACATGGATCATAAGCTAACTTATACATACCAGCAAGCCAGGAAAAAGAGAAATTAAAAATAAGCTGCTTTAAATAAAGCAATTAAGCTGAAGGCCTTTAGTCGCATGGGTCATATTAAATAGAGCACATTATTATAAACAAAACCCCACCTGTAACAGCATCAATTATGAACTTCTCTGTGTGCTGTGGCTCATGCGTAGATGTTGATATGACGATTTCTTCACCAACTTGCCAGTCAGTTGCATTCTCAAGTACGATTTTATTCCCTCCAGGATATACTGTTTGTGCCAGTGCTGTCCAATACACACTCCTCTGCTTCCCAAACATTTGCAATCGTGCAAAAACGCCAAGAGCCTTTGCTCCAACGTTGAGTCCATTATTGAGAGCCAAGTCTTTTGTTTGATGGTTGCCAAGCAACCTAATGATGACATTGTTTACCATAGGCTTGTCTGGCCAACCGACCACCAGACTACCGTACAGCCCACTAATAAAAATCATGTTAGCAGAGATGTTATGATTTCTTCCATTTTCAAGCTCGAGTGTTCCATAGATATATAGACGATCCATTCTAGGTGTCTGAATATCAACAACAATCCATTTATCGGAGTTAATCATCACATTGTCACCATCCTTGGGCAGAACCCCATTATGCCCACCATAACCAGCTGGTGTCCCCATCCAATCAGCCGATTTGCTCCAGTACCCAGCTGAAGACGGCCTGCCTTTTGGAGCCGGTGGAGGCGTTGGCACTATGCACTTCAGGAAGAAGCAGCGGTATACTCTTAGATTGATTGGCATCGGAACAGGGAAAGCAGGAGTGCTTTGGCTCGAGCCCTTAACTAAAATGGTCAGCTTCTTCTGCTCATTATTAAAATTCCAAGCACCATGCGATTCAGTAACTGGATCAGGTATTCCAGACGTTCCATTGACAACAGCTCCGGTGGTGGTGAAAAAGTCAGGCTCTTGGGTTAATGTATGCGTCAAATAGAGATGGTCCGTCTTTTTCATATCGTAGAATTTCATGCTATAGCTGAGATTGGTCACCTGATTACCCATTTCAAAACCGAGGTTCGTTGCCTCGTTTGACAATACAAGAGCCATCCAACCTCTAGGGTGCGAAGTTGCTTTGTCCGCCCATGGACTCGTTGTGTTGCCATACTTGTTAGTCAAAATTGCTCTCTTCTGGTTCAGTGAGCTTGGTCCAATGTTATTGAATGCCATTCTTCTAAATGAAGCTTCTGGTTTGCAAACAGCACCAGGCATCGCACCGACAGAAAACTTGCTGTCTTGGGTGCAATGTGCGGAAGGCAGAGTTGGGTTCAGCGGTAGAGCACTGCTACCAGCAATGCCAGTCAGGGTTCCGTCTAAATCTTCATATATAGCCTGATGATTCCAATCAAACATTGCAATACGTGGTGAATTTATCAAAGTGAGCTTTTCAAATTTAGTGAGCCAGCCGCCCTTTTTCTTGAAATGGGAGCAGTGAGCGCAAGCCCTCAAAATCGTGCAACCACTTGACAAGTCAAAGTTGACGAAAGTAACATTCGATACTGTAAGGCGGGCAGAGGCCGGCAACTGAATACCCGCTTCTGTGCACGCTTTTTGATCGGCATGACGCAGTTCATTGTAATCTGCGAGCTGCGAGTGGCCTACGATAAGTGAGTCTCTCACCATTGCACCTCCCCAAGGGCTGTTGTCAGAATCCGCAACGATGACTTCAATTCCAGCTAAATCGTTATCCATTGCCACATTGTCAACAAACTGCACAGCTCCGCCGACATCCACCTCAGCGCCACGCATGTTATTCCAGGCAATCATCGAGTGGAAAACGGCTGGTTCGTGTTCCTTAGCGTTGCAAGCACCTCCCTTTTTAGGATGATAAATCGGGAATATCCATAGGCCATAACGACCAAAAGAATGAGCCGTATTGTTGCGGAATTCCAACATGGGCACGTTCCTTTGAATGAAAAAGACAGATAAGATGAGAGACCGATTACTTGAGACAAGTTTAGTTTTTGATAAATAACTCTGGTGGCTAACATAGAACATATTTTTATCAAAAAAATACTTGTCTTCTATAGTGCTAATTCATTCAAAATCTAATATGTTGCTGAGGATAGGTAAAAAATAGAAACAAACAATTAATTTTTCGAAACTTTTATCTTCCACAAGGAGAGAATTTTTTTATAAATTTTGCGTTTATATTGTTGAACGGGGCTTCAATCATAAACAATTGGACTTCAAAAGCAAGATGGACTTCGTACCTTGGACAGACATCCTTCGTAAAACTAGGCCCATCTGGATGCATGAACATTTGGTACCAGAATCCAAAATGACTCCCACCCGCGGCAGCATTATGTCGAACAGTGTTATTTGCATTAGTGACCCAATATGTGGCGGGGGTAATGTCTACGTTCAGAGTTGAACTTGACGGTTTAACGAATATTCCAAGGTTGTACTGGATTACATTGCCAATCTCGATTCCATTTTCCATGAAAAACGCGTTTCCTAAAATTTAGAGAAGAATAAGAAAATGCAATGAAGCTATTCAAACGATGGATTCTTTGACGTTCAAATAATTAATCGCTGCACCGACAAAGCCACAATTATTCAACATTACCTTATAGATATAATCAATTGCAAAAAATCTTTTGGTGATACAAAACTTAAAAATGGCTTTCAAAAAAACAAACATCTAAGAGTATACTAAAGCTTTTTGTCTGACATTCTTGAGCATAAAACGTCAGAACATAAACGGAAACTCTACGTTAGAAAATATATATAGCCAGTTGTGGATCGAAAAAGGCCAATCAGAAACGCGAGCACATGACTGTTGAGGCTGTCCAATCATTGCCGCTTGCCTACAACCAATCGACTAGAATATTTCTTCCTAAATAAGCGAAATTATAATAAGGAAGGGGATTCTCTGTCTCACCAAATACTACAGGTTAACTGGTGAAGAATTTCAAACGGATCTACTCCTTACCATTTTCGATAGGAGACTGCTTGTCGTTGAAGATGCCAAGGCCTAGCTTTCGTTTTGATTTTGAAACGAACCTTGCGTAAAATACCACATATTTATCTATGGTCTTAAGCTTGACTATCAAAGCGTACATTTTTCAACTTTTGCATTGGCTCTCTCGCTACCCTTGGCCAATCCTGCAACTTTTTTTGGGGATGTGTACTTTTTTAAACAATAGCAAAGAATATTTCAATATCTAGTTTCACAGCTCTTTATAATCATCACTCACAGTACCTATCACATTTTCTGCTGGAGAAACAAATCATTTCTGGGGTTACACCCTCAACTGAGGAAATTTGCTTAATTTGATAGATATTTTGGTGTAAAATTGCAGGTATATGTAGTTAAACACTCTTTTTGCAAAAATATATCAAATTAAATCAAATTCCTGACCTCTTACCAGATTCGAAGAACAAATTTTTACAACTATGACAATGCTGACAACGAAGTGATTAGAAGCATTCTTGTGTTAACAATATGTTTTATAGGCAATACTGGTCGATTTCAATAAAATGTCTTGCCTCATTCAGCATAGTATGCTGCCAATGTTTTTTGCGTATAAATTGTAAAGTTAACGTTCGTATGTAGTAAACGGTTTCTGAGTTCATATGTAGCCTGTTTTAAATGTACCTTAAACTTTGTTTATAATGTCACGGGGTACTCATGGCATATTGCACTCCGTGATATCGTACTTGTAATACTGAAAATTTGTTTGTATATAGAGTTACGTGTAAACTTTCATTGCAAATTTTATTGATGTAAAAAATGCTGATAATGATTTTGGCACGTACCAAGAATGTCATAAATGACTGTATTCTCAACAACAAGGTTGTTGACACCATGCATAGTGACAGCGCGATTGAAGCTGTGATGGATTGAGCAGCCCTTCACGTAGGAGCCATGGACATCCCCATCCATGTGAAAGTGAATTGGATAGCGCCCGAGCCTGAACGCCTGACCAGCATGCCGTACCTCGATGTAATGGAAGAGACCTCTAGCTACTCGAGAGCTTCGGTGTCCAGAATGCAGCATAATCTGCACTCCAAATTGGTCGCTGCCTCGCTCCTCTCCAAACTTTCCATCAAAGCAAGTTTGCTTTTTAAACTGACCTGGCTCAAACTCTTCTGGGCAGCTCTCGATTTTGCCACTCCACGTGTCCTGTTTTGAGCCTTAAAAAAACAAGTAAGTTAGTTCCTGCATCTAAGAGTCAATTGAAGGACTATTGAGTCAAATGAAGATATTAGAGCCACGTAGGTTCACAGTTCACAGACAGGGTCGTGTTTTAGATTAGAAGTAATACAACATCGCTCGCTGCAACCGAAGCAACAGAAAGCTGCACGATATAAAGCCATCACGTTAGTTAAGGTTTATTGAGAGTTTTACCATCAACATAGAATGAAAACATGATAAACTCACCCTGTATCACAATATTTCTTGTCAGCAAGCCAACTTCAGCTCTAGTATCAATCACCCGACCGGCAATTGTCTGACTGATAGAGATATGCCTATACTCCAAAGCTGGTGAGATATCAAGCGTTCGACCCGCATCTCGTATCCCTGTGATCTTGACGATTTCATTCTCTCTAATGCTCTTGCTTGTTGTTGCTATGACAATCTCATCGCCAATATTCCAGTCATTGACAGGCAACTGCAATTTGATCGATGTCGCGCCTGCATTGGCTGTTTCAGAAAGCCTTGTCCATGTGTGCGTTATGTGCTTTCCAAACAACTCCAAAGAGCCATTTCGAACTGAAATTGACTTTGCTCCGTAAATTGGCAACTCGGTAGATCTCACGTGACCATGAATAGTTATCATAGCTTTGTGCTGAAACGGCTTTTCAGGTGATTCCCCGATACGAAGTTTGCCTCCTTCTGTTAGGAAGATATGTTCTGCATGGAGATGTAGATTCTTTTCATCGAAAACCAACTCACCGCCCTTGATGAGGAGTATTTTGAATATTGGTGTGTCAATATCAAGAAGCATTGACTGGCCATGCTTGATAATTACGAAATCACCTGAAGCAAGAACAACAAACATGTCACTAGAACCGCTATCAAACAACAATAAAAACAGTAACAAAAAATCGATTTCTAATCTATAAAATAATATATGTGTTATTTAAATGCATGAAATTAACAGATTTACGCACTATAAACAACTTCTACTTTCCAAAAATGACCAGAAGACAAGTGAAAAAATAATTCCAAAAAGCTGACTTAGATAACAAAACCATCTGTCAGTTTCCTAAGACTTATTGGTAACACTTCAGTTTCTGGTCAACTGCTTTAAACTGTTACTTATTTAAATTGTTTGAATGCAACTGATTTTACTATTTGCTTGGAATTCCAAAAACAAATTATGCTTTAAAGTTTCATTAGAGATCAATGAAGTTTCGTATGAAGGAAATTTCCTTCTTAAAAAGCGTCCTATAAATTAAGCCTCGAATAACTTTTTCGTAGGGCGTAACACTTACCACAAGAAGAAATAATAAATGCGAGCAAGGTCTATCTGTGAAAGATGTGACATCTGGGTAATACAAGTTCCTATATCTAAAGAACGACTGCCACTTAAACACCATTCCTCGTTCTATCAGTAAAAGCTTAAGAAGGGGCATCCATTGCGCAAGAGTGGCTAACAAGAGTCTTTACTTAAAGTACATATAATCTTTTTAGAAAATTGGGGACATCTTTCGATTACAATAATACAAGGAGCTATTAGAGCAAAATGGCCAACGGAACTAGCGTAAATTGGTTGTAAACGTAAAACGGTTAGCTGTTTCGCTTTGTCTTACCTGCAACAGGTGGGCTATTACCACCCCAACTGTACTTTGAAGACCAAACGTCAACATAAAAGAAACTAGCGTTGACTGGTACAGCTTTCCCATTTGTGCCAACATCAACCCTAACATCGGTTTTGATGGTTCGGGAACTTGGAGAAGTGATGCAAACTATTGTAGTAGCATCAACAGACTGGACTGCGCATGGGTTGCCTGCAATTGTCACAACAGAGGAGCCAGAGCCACTTTGCAGGGCCGTGCCACTGATAGTTACCCGAACACCACCACCAGTGCCACCACGAGCAGGGCTAACGGATGTAATTGTAGATGTGAGCGATGCTCTGTAGGTATATGAATTTGCCAATGACTGTGTCAAGCCAGAAGATGATCTTACTTCGACAGAGCATACGTGGTCTGAGGAGAAACTTCCGGGATTGAAGTAAGGGCTTTCGCACGTGATCCATGTGTCATTCACTGACGATACTTTACAGGGCTGGTTACAGATAAGTACAGAATCGCTTGCACTGTAGCCATAGCCAGTTAAAGTGACATTCCTGCCACCACCGAAGCCACTCTCATTAGGGGCAACACTCGTAAGGCCAAGTGTGTAATTGAACATCGTATCACTGTTGCTCAGTCCTTTTCCGTCGACAGAAACTTTGATAGGTACGGATCCTGCAGGATGTGGCGCCAGTGTGCATGTGATGGAGCTGCCAGAGGAAGATGTCACTGCACAGGAAGCATCACCCACGGTGACACTGCTACTTGAAACAGAGCGTCTTCGCCTTTTACTTGATGATCCTGGGGCTAAGTTGCTTCCTGTGATTGTTATGGTTTCTCCACCTTTTCCAGTTGAAACCAACAGCGAGCTGACCGTTGGCGTCACAGAAGCATCGTATGTGAAGGTGCTCGTCAGCGGAAAGGTCACGGTACCAGACTTAACAACAACATTCTTTGTCCCAGTACCTGAAGGTGTGGTACAAACTACACTGGTATACGTCACTGACTTCAATGAGCACTGTTTACCGTCAATTAAAACGGAAACCCTGCCAGGATCAAAGCCAAGTCCACTGATGCTTATATCTGTTCCTCCGTGAACACTTCCTCTGGATGGTGACACACCAGTTATTGATGGAGTACACTGGACAGTATCACCTGTATTGAACCAGGCACTTCCGCTTGGGTGCTTATAAACATGCAACTTATGAGATCCAGCTGGAACACCTTCCACGACGCAACTGATATGTGTGTCATTGAGGGTGCTAATGTTGCATGGTGAAGGCCCAACCGATATTGCAATATCAGATGAAGATGAACCAAACTTGTCACCGTGTAGGGTAAGTTCTTGGCTTTGTTGTGTAATTTGCCTGTTTGGAATTTCGTTAACCTCTGCAGTTGCAGTTAGGTTGTAGTGGAAGTCGCATCCAGCATTTGTTAGATTACAGACTGCTAATTCACTGTTAATGTGAACGTGGACTGGCCATGCATTGCTAGCTAGAGTGCTGACCTTACCCGTTGTGCACTTAATTTCCACATATGTCATATTTGTTATTGCGCATTGGAATGATCCGATGGTGACGGTAGCGCTATTGCCAGTAAAACCAGCACCTTTGATCGTCAGTTTGGTGCCGCCACCAGCCGATCCTTCAGTTGGAGTAAATGACGAAATCATTGGACGCATTTTGAGTGTTTCATCAGCTGGGCTCGAGATATTGATCAACGCCCTGCCTCTGTTGTTTACATGCACAGAAATGCGCATCGGTGTATTGATTGGTGGAGAGTTTGCGATGTTAATACGGCAGGTAATTTTCGTATCAGTACTTGAGATGACGTCACAACTATGATCTCCAAGTTTAACATGATTTTGACAACTGAGGCTTGAGAAACCCCGTCCTGTAACTTCAACATTGGTATCAGCTGTTATCCATCGAGGGGAAAGAGAGTTAACCACGGGGGTCATGCAAGGCGCATATTGAAACTTAAATGGATGTCCATCATCAGCGTTGCCTGTTACATTGGAATCGTTGCTCGTCAGTGAGCCGTCGATGACGCAAGCAGAGTGGCTAGAACTTATTCCATTCACACAGTCATTAGGAAGACTGGTATTTGAAGAAGAATTCGCGTATTTTGCCATGTATTCTGCAATTAAAAATACCAGTTCAAATTAAAGGCACTCAACTCAGTGTTAACTTTAGTATTTCAAATCATCATAAGCAACAAATTTTTACGTTAGTAGTATGCAAGCAAAATCCACATATACCATATCAAATGCTTCTCTTTTAAATACATTGTTACAGCCAGTATGTTGTTTATAAATCCCTATCTAGCTGCCGTACAAATGTAATATAGGAAGACGATGTTTGAATAAAATATACGGACACAAAGTTTGCTTAAAGAAACACGGATATCAAACATTGTAGCAACTTGTAATTGACAAAGGAACGCTTAACAGGAAACTCACGTCCTACTCGAAGGTGTACATTTGAGATTTTCGACTTCATTCCTCTGACAATGACCCTTCCTGTCATGCTTATTCTCTTGCCAGCATCAATTGGGCCAGTAGAGAAATAGTAAACTCCAAGCTTATCAAATCGGTGAGTAAAACTGCCACTGCTACTTCGTGCACTTATGAAGCCAGTCCCATCATACTCTTCATTAACTGCAGATGTTTGGAAGACACCAATGGAGAGTTGAGACAACGGGTTGCTTCCCCACATCCACTGCAAAATTCAAAAAGAAGTTTAAAAAGATGTTCAGAAAACAATCAGTTTACAGAAATATAAAGATACGTCACAGAGTCAACTTTTGATTATTTACTTAGAAAACATCCTCTGATTACTTACTAAGAAAACACTCTCAAAGATTCAGTGAAAAAAATGCCCCTACTGCACTTCTTACATCATGACAGCAATGTTCATTCTAAAGCTAAACTCTAGGGGCATTGTTTGTGAAACGAAGAAGGCTTTAATGCATCTTGAACCCAACAAAAACGTCACATTTGTATTGAAAACAACAAAATGTCAACTATTCTTGCCAAAAAGCAATTAAAGCTTGATCAAAAAACCACAAAAGATAAAAAAGATTTTGACAACAAAATTTGAAATAAAAAAGACCACGATCCATTTCCAAATGTAAAGTTTGTCCTTTAACAAAGCAATTAGCAGTTTGGTCAAAAGTCTGAGCAGTGAACAAAACAAAAAAGATTTCTGCGGACATACCTTGACTGAATCTCCAATATTAATCTGTATAACAGAGACATTCCAGGCATAACCACCACCATAAACTAAAAGAAATATTGCCTTATATTTCTTGACTATATCATTTATCTTCTAATCAAGTTTAATAATGAAAATTTGACACAAAAATATGCACAATTTCACAGGCTATAACTGATGCAAAATGTATTTACAGTTTTTTATCTCATGACATAAATGACAAGCTCTGTGAATTTTGTTTGCACAAACTAAGAACCTGAAGTTTCGGAAGCTTGAGTTATATTTTTAACTAACGGCCTAGAGGTTAGAATATGACTCTTCTAACTGCCTGCAAACACTCATAAAATACCTAGCGAGACCATCCCGGAATCTTTTAGTGCAGTTTCATATTCCCTGGTCTTTGCTTTTCCACCGGTCCTGGCCTTTACAACATTCATTCTGCATAAGTTCAATTTGAAGATTCTAACAGCTAGATAAGATAGCTTGATTTTCAATATAGATGTCATGTAATCTACTGGAAATGAAATCATTCCAAAAAATACTTACGCGAACTCCTTCCAGAGTTATCAACCGAGATAACATTTGCCGCTGCTGTTGTTCTACATTTGACCTCCTCGTTCGTAGCAGAAAGAACATCACACTTTTTATTTCCAACTCTGACATGAATCACTGACGTATTCTGCCCAAATCCACTGCCTGTCAAGGTAAGAACAGTTCCACCAAGAACAGACCCTTTGTCAGGATAGACATTGTCCACAGTAAGGATGTATTCTAACACTGGATCGGAGAGCTCTGCGAAGCCTCTACCAGAAATGGAGACAGAAAGCTTGTGTCTTCCAGGGGGGTTGGCAGGCGTCTTGCAATATATCTCAGTGTTGCTGGAGTTGATTATCTCACAAATGTTATCACCGATAGTCACGCGAACACCTGAGCCAGATAACGGACTAAGAGAGGAACCGTCTAGTCTCAGAAGAACTCCGCCAGAAGTCAGGAGTGGTTCATGTGTGACAGAATTGATGACAGCGTTCATACTCGATGTATACTCGAATGCATCTTCCAGTGAAGTGTTTACACCTCTTATATGAACCTGAAATCGAGATCATTGTCCTGGTTAAATTTACTATAAACAGATAATACAAGAAAAGAAAAAAGGATAATCGCTTTGCTAAATATGCTGCTAATTTTTTTTAAAATGGCTACTTCAGAAACGAAACTTACAGATACAGAAACGTTCCCGGCAGCGTTTGGCCCAGTTAAACAGGTGATGTTTACATTATTTAGGCCAATGATTTCACACAAGCTTCCACCAAAATAGACTTTGGCATCCTGGATCTCGCCGCCAAAGCCATTTCCAACAATCGTTACTACTTCGCCTCCCAGAGTACTGCCTTGTACAGGCGAAACTGAGGTTACAATAAGATTGTACCTAAAACGAGGATACTGATCAAAATTTGATATCAACAAACATTCAATTCATTTAAACCGACAGAAAGTTTTTACCTTGTTTGCCAATAATATACTGTCATTTCATGATTCTTTTTACTTCTCCATTGCTAATAAGTAATAACTTGAAGCGAAATATAAATTGAAATGGCGTGCTACAAAACTGGGCTAGGATTTTACATGTGATCAACAAAGATTATCCCATTAAAGTTAAAGGGGTATGAGGAAGATTGGGGCGAACAATGATTCGTTTAAGAGTTTATGATATGAGTTAACAAATATTTCGACATTTCAAAAGCTTTAAAGCCTCTTCATTGGTATGTTGAAAATCAAATTAATGATATAAGAGAAAAGAATTCTGCCGTAAGGTTAACAGACGTACTTAAATTTGTTGGCGTCACCAGTTGCCATGGAATTTCCTTTTCCTTTCACGTGCACATTCACTGAGTGGGTCCCAGCTTGCGACTGGCCTAGATAAAAAAGATTTTGAAATCGTCGTTTCCAATGTCTGTTCTATGTTCATTATTAGACAGGTTTCCGAAAAAGCTCCAGTCTTCTTTTCAAATTGAATTGATTTGGTGGTTTCATTCATAGAATATAGAAGAATGACGGAGGTCGAAATCAAAAGCATCAGGAAATATTTGTTTCAACTTTGTTTATTCCTACGACAGCTGATAGAGATTTGTTGAATGAGGCAAAGGTCATGGCTAATGCGAAAGATGTAGTTGCGACCACTTACCAACACAACAAGATATTGAGCTTGTAGTACTACTCTGGACCTGGCAGAAAACACCGCCTATCGTAACAACATTATCTGCATTGTTCGAACTAAATCCTGATCCACCAATGGTAATGACATTACATGTGCCATTCGGTCCACCATGACCATTGGACGGCGTGATGGATGTGATTTTGGGCGTACTAGCATCACTGTATCCATATGCACAGGTGTTATTCATGCAGGAGGAGGCGATGTTATTGATTGTGACAACCACCTTGGGTAGTAAAGATATGACGTCATGCACAAAATAGGGTTTATGTGACAGGAATACAAGAACTGGTTAAAGTTAGAATACATTTTCTGTCAAAGGCAAAGAGTCTTCTTCTGCAAGGTTTTGGCAACAGGAAAACACTTTGAGACAGAAAGACAAGTCAGTTATTTTGAGATGTCCTTTCTTGTGACGTTTCTGTTAAGGGCAGCGTCTATGTTTTATACTAACACACTCTTGACAAATAATCTATGGATTCACAACGCAACCTAGAGTCTGCAAATTTGGGGAGCTGCTTAAGGATTTCTGCCGTCAGTCAACCTCATTTCTCCTTTCCAAAATCAATGCAGGCATTGCAATCATAGCGATGCCAATCGTTCGTCGCAGACAGGAACTGTTTCGCTTGATTGCTTCAACGAAAATAGCAGTGTCACTGTAACCATCGTCTAGAGCTGCAGGGTGTGTGCATTTCAAATTTCACGATTTCTTTATAAATCTTGATAATCTAAAGGCACACGTATACGCCATACACACTTTATTTTAGATCAATTGACTTCAACAATAAAACCACTTCCTTACCTGCGGCCTAGTTTCCGGCAAGCGAAGAAATTCTGCAGGTATTGGTGCCATCATCAACCCTCCATCGGTCCTGGTGTTAACTTTGATGCTGACGGAATCCCCAGTCAACCTTCTACCATCCACTACAAACTCTGGTTTATTTCCACCGATTGCTACCCACTCGACATCCCAGTAATAGCCAGAACAGGTTCCTTGCCTAGTCACCTGTAGCTCTCCACTGCGTAGGTCTCTCTCTAGCATCGCCTTCAAGTCTTTGGCCTCAATGTTGGATTCCAATCCTTGATGACGTACAGAAAAGTTTAATTAGTAACAAGCAAGGATAGAAAGGCGAAGATTATGCATAACAAATGTAAAAAATTCTAACATAAGAAAATGATACGTAAGATAAGAAAATCTACATCAAACTATCGATTTGCCCATTGAATTTTCTATTGATACTTTGCCACTTCATATCCCGTGAAGATACTTAACAAAAGACTCCATACGACAATCATACCTTCAAACAGTTTGTCCTCGTATAAAAGATCAAATGTGCCCGTAACTGGAGAGCTGGCTTTTTGCGTCTGAGTAACTGTAACAGTAGCCGTGCCCGACAAACTGTACGTTGCACTCGTTGCTGTTGTTTTCGACGCAGTTTTGCCATGTATCTTCATCAATCCGACGTTTGTAACACAATCGGCAACGTGCATTGAGATCTCTATTGAGTTATTGCTTGGTTTAGTGACTTCAAAACTTTGAATAAGAGCGCCATTCGGTTGGGCAGCAGGTAATGTTGGTGTCACTGTGGAAATCAAATCAGTAGACTGGTTCGTTAGGAGGAGATGTGAAGGAAAGTTTCATGTATCAAATTTTCATTTGTAATACAAATAATGTTGAGCAACACTGGACAAGAGATGGATCCTTGAGGAACCAGGGGCGGCGTGGGGTGGTATTAAAGGTATTAGTCTAATACCATTTTATTTTCAAAGGAAGGCGACTTTGGGTCTCTGAGATTGCAGGAAATTTATTTTGCTTTTTGTACGCTGCCACTTTTTCACAACAATTTTATCGATGCGACCAGCTCTATTCATATAGCCAAGCTATATTTGCTTTTCTGTTCGTTGAATGAAAGCTTTCCTAATCCTGATTGAAATCTTTGAAAAGTGTAATCCATGCCGTAATCAGCAGCCCTGGCCATGGTATTAGCCTCCAAAAACTAATACACTGCCCCGAAATTTCTTTTGTCTGTTGTGGTCTGCATGACGTGAATTTCTCTTGTTGAGCCATGGTAGAAGAATGGGTGAACAGCAGTAAGGTATTAGTTTTTCATTTCTAATACTACGAGGGCCACTGTCAGTGGAAGGGACGGTGGAAAGAGCCCCAGCTCTATTCTAAGGCCTCAGCTTATAGAAAAAATATTTCTGGAAATTAACTTTATGAATTTACAAAATGTAGCTGTACTTTTGCTAGCAATGCCTTTGGATGGATAATTTGATTGACAAAATTTAGACACTGAATATAAAGAGCAACAGTCATGAAATAATTTGTTTAAGCTAAAGGCAGTTGTAAAAGTTGTTTTGTATGAACTGTATGTTTTGTAAAACTTCGATTCTATATGATTGTAGAATTCTCTTGGTTTCTCAAATCACATTATTTCTCTCGGTTTCTCAAATCAAATGATACATCTTACGTTTTTTGCTGCATTACTCTAAAGTAAATCGCTCGCTTTATCGTAATAGAATCTCATTCGCGGGCCAAAAGCCTCATGGTATTAGAATTAATGGGCTAATACCTTGGGGCTCCATTACTGGGCAGCAAACCGCTGTATCAAAACACGATTTCGCTCGAGTAATTTGCCGCAGCCATAATTCATTTGTATTTCGTAGGACCGATCCTTCACCCAAAACTAGTAGGATGAACTACATTACCACAGGGTCATCAGTGTCTGGGGGGAGACAACGGGGGCCAGTGCCTTCAAATAATTTTGTAAGATATGGTATTGCCAAAAGCTATTTTAAACCATCATATCGAAAAGGTCATTTTGCCCACCTTCTTAAATAAGAACATATAAGCTCCACCCCTGTTAAATAGTTTCAGGACCTTGCAGGGGGACCTTCTTATGTCTTAATTTCGGAGGCTAATACCAATACTTTTCTACTCCCAGCCGCCCCTGTGAGGAACCCTGAACCTAACTTCTATTTTAGCGGCTATCCGAATCTATTTGAAGAAAGTGCGTTCTCTTTGAATTCAAATTATACTATCAATGCCATCAAGGAAGAATTGCAAAATATAATAGGTTATTTAAAAAAACTTAAGCATTAAAAAACAACTTTAGTACGAAGATTTATCATTTCTTTGCAAACTTCCACACTTCCATACTCGAATCTTTTACACAATCTCCCACTTGCCGAAATCTCCAAAGTCCACTCTGCAGAACCTGATACATTTTCGTCATTTCAACGAGGTGAAGATGTATGATAACAAAGTATTTTTCTCTTACGTTTAGCTTGAATAATCTACAATTTCAGTGAAAATGTATACTTTACCTATCATATCACTAGCACCAATCCATATATTATCGAAAAGAGTATCACCAACACCGTTTATGTTGGGGTAACCCCTGATGAAATCGATCTTATATTGAGGGTTTAGGGCTATCCTGGCTGTAAAAAAACTATCACTGGTTACATGTGTATAGACATCCATACAAGCGTGGTTCCAACGATCCAATCTGGATGAAATAGCAAACGTATACGTTCGTTCAGCCCTTCGACGAACACCATCTTTGTGATTGTAATTAATTCTAAATGTCACGTAGTTCTGCAAAGGGCCTTTGTACGCGAAGCAGACCTGTTGTAAAAGAAAAAAACTTGTGTCAAGGCAAAATTGTCTAGCATTCAGCTACAACGTGCAGTGAGTATGGCTTTTGTTATAACTGCTATCTAACAACCTTTAGAGGATTTCATTAGAGAGCAAAATACGATTTTTTACTTTATTAAACTTCCAAAAGCTTCACCTGAAACCCACACCATTAATCTAGCTTAAAAAAGACCATTTTCAAACAATACTGCATTTAGAAAAAATAGAAAAAATAACGCGGTGCACCTTTTTGTTGACATTTAAGTCATATTGTGGGAGTTTCACGCCATTTTTCTTGGTCACACCTTCATCGAAAAGGTAAAACCAGTGATATTTTGTCTTTATTGACTGCCTTCCGCAATAGGGTTTCGTATACGTGATTCTGGTTCCGTGTTCTTCGTTCTCGTGAGCTCCTTCGAAGTCTTGGAAGAAAAAGCCTTTATCTGGAAGAATAAAAAATCAGCAGTCTTGCAAACTATGCTGTGAAATCTAGAACATAACATGGTAAGAAATAAGATAAAGTTATATAAGCCATCAATTTAAAAAACACAACAACAAAACTAGCAAACAATTTCAGTAAAAAGTAAATCTCAAAAGTTGCAACAATAACTAGATACCTAATGGTTATGACTATTTTTTTCAACACTTAAAGCAAGAAAGATCGGATGATTGAGAGGTGGGTTAATTTAAAGTCAAGAGCAGATACAAATTTGCCAGTATGAAAAAAAGCATGAGGTAAATCTAAGAAATAGGCCAGTTTGTGGCCTATCGCACCTGAAATGGGATCAAATACCACATGAAGAGTGACGCATAAGCATAATTAAGAAGAATATACCTAAACAAACACACATATTTACACGAATCACATAGAAAAATGAACCACTACTATCCCTTTAGTAGCATTAACAAAAGAGCATTTTCCTTAAGATACAACCACTGAAAAATCAACATACTATTGGTATCATAGAATTTCAAAATGATATACTATTATAACATGAATTCAAGACATGTTTAAGGCGATATTGCCAAAGAGAGACTTAGCGAGCCTTTAGAAGAACACGAAAAAATCTTACTTGCTGCGGGGTTGTATGTGCATTGCCATGTAAAGAACTTCTCTATTTCACTTTTAACAGCTGAAAGTCCGGCGTTCGAGAGAATCGGAGAAGAGACTCGACCACCATAGGAGATTTGATAAGAGACTGGTTCCGCAGAGGTGATACTGATCATCTTTAACAAGGACAGAGAGTAATTTAGATATGAAGGTAAGATTTTAAGATACAATATAAAAACATTAGCCTTCAGAACAGTCATTGAGAATACTATTAATAAAAAATAACATAGATAAGTTATTTATTCAAGGATGGCATCATGACAGCTGGTTAAACTCAAGCAAAACGACGATATGAAATTTACTTTAATACTCATACTAACATTTTTTCCCTACAAACTATAATACAAACAAGATGTCATCTTTAAAAACCCTATATTACCTCAAATTACTTAAGAACCTCTTTCGCAATCTACAGTTGCAGCTACTAGATGACTTTTTTTGTTTCCGCTTAAATTCAGTCAAGACAGGAAGCACTGCTATTTCTAGTGACAATTAATGCAATAGCTAATACAGTAGATTGAACATGGTGGCAATGATATGTTCGATCAAGCAAAAAACTTACTTGAAACGATCAGAATTTATTGACAAAATATACAAGTAGGCTGGAATTAATGATAGTTGACAGGCTGTAAAATCTGCTGCAAATTGCAACAATTCTACTATAAGTAGGAAAGGAAAAACAAAAGGGATCGTAAATCATGTGATCTCTCAGAACACGGGAGAAGCAATAAGGATAAGAAGCCTTCAAAGAGTAATGGTAAACAACCTAGGGGAAAATAGGCCTGGAGCAAAGAGACTCATAGCACGTTATCACAATTCACAGCACGATGCTCCAACTAGGTCCTGGTAAATTTGCACAAACACTTGCAAATCCATGCTAACATTTGCGGTAGCTTAAAAAAGTTTTCTTAAACAGTCTCAAAAAAGAACATAATATTTAATTACTTAATTAAATATTTGCATTTTAAATTAAAATTCATTTTTTCACTAGTTACGAGTTTATTTCAGTAATTTGGAGGTCGTGGTTTTTTTACCTGTTTTTCAGTTTTGTAAACTGAGCTGATCTGAATTCGTTGCAATTCATTGAGAGCTCCTTTCACCTGCCCAGCCGTCCTGCTTGTCTCGTCCATAAGCACGGCCAATTCTGCATGATAGCCCCAACCATAATCAAAAAATGGGAACTCGAAATAATATGGTTTTCCTTTCGTAAGATTCATCTTTGCTGATTTCTGGCTCGGAAACTTGTAGAAGCTGTTATAGGTAAAACTTGGTGATGAGGCAATACGAGCCTGTAAAAGATGAGTTAAGTAAGTGTCCAGGGATTATTGCGTTAACCAGCCAAAACAACAGGAGGTTGTAATACACAATCCATGAGTGATATGCTTCATCACATAATGTATGATAGACGACTTGTAAAATATCTCTTATTGCAAAGGCCGCACGTTTTTAGCGTTATAACACTAAACTTTTATGTCGATAAGTCAAAATATAGAGCTTTAGAATCTCAACATGAAGTTAAAATATCAAAACACCGAATCATTAGATAAATCACAACCCCAGACGACCTAAGTATTATTATTATTTTCCTGTTTGTTACTGAAAGACAAATGCAAACAACTGGATTTAACAAGTCAAAAAAGTGAAATAAAACCCATTAGTGAACTTCGTAAAACCGTTACATTAAGAAGAAAGCAACGCAGGTACCTTGTTCGCAGCAGACTGGGAACTACTTAAGTACAGCTCGCCAACGTCATCATTTTTTATTAGGAAGGAGTAAGAGCCAGTACGAGGCGGAACAAAGAAGCCAGTAAATCTTCCGTGGCTCTTCTCCCAATTTGGCCAGTCTTCCTTGTTAAAAATTATAGTGTCCCTCATCACATGTCGGGAGTAGCTTGGGGAACTTTTGCTAAATTTCGAGAAATCTGCAAAGCTTCTTGCTTCGGATCTGTTCCACAGTTCAAGAACAAAACCACGCCCGCCTACAGAACAGTTAAAGAGAAAATTAAGATCAAAGGAATCTACGAGGGCAATAAAGCAGAGAACCTGACATCATATCACACCTAACATATGAAGTGGTACCTACCAAAAGTCTTCGAATAAGTCCCTCCCCCTTTTGGGATAAGCCTCCACTCCAGAAGTAAAATCTGTTTAACAAATCCTCACCCTTATATCTTGTAATTATGGAATTTCACAGAAATGGCCTATTCTTACTAAGCTATCATACCAGATGAAAACCTGTTGCTTTTTCTCGAACTTTGCTTTCTTTTTATGGACTCGCTGAGCATTTGAAATTCGAATGCCCTTCTTTATACTTATTTTTTGCTTAGGAGAAGATTGGAACAAAGCCCCGAATCATTTGACTTTGAACGGAGCGTTTCCCAACAGAACTACAGCTGCCCTGTCGCTTAAAGATCGATACAAAACAAGGGTATAATAAAACAAATCAGCTGACAACGTGAATTTCGAAGTATATCGATAATCAACAAGAAAACAAAGTTTACCTGGAAAAGGATCGGAAGCATTTGCTGGAGGAGGAGGAGCTCTTCCTGTCCTGCAAGTGATTCTGGTTGTTGAAGTGGAAAGAACTTTGCAGGGGACACCTGACATGCAACAGAATGAAATGTTATCAATGGATCTTGAGAAGCAAATGCTAGAGAAATTCTACCAGTTGAAAATGATATCAATAGGCCAACATTGAATTAGTAAAGTTCAAATTGAAAATACAATGATCTGTCTGCAAATCATCTTAAAAGCATCTTACCTCCAACAGTGACACTGACATTAGCAATCTTCTTTGTGAAGAAGTTACCATTGATGGAAATTACTTGGCCGCCCATGACACTGCCTTCATTTGGTGAAATGCTTGACACATCTACAGGAAATAGATAAATTGTCAATCAATTTCTAAACAAGATGAAGGGAAAATAAATCATACAGTAAGCAAAGAAAAAATATCAGCCATCTTTCTGGCTATCAATAAATCAATTAATCAACAAATAAAAAAAATAAATAAAAATCAAAAGTGATTCATCAAAGAGGCAATCATACAATAATCACCTGCATATGTCTGGTATGAATAAGCAACATCATTTCCATCAACAAGATATGCCTGCTTTTCTCTTCTTGATCGACCAGTGTCAGATACAATGAATGACACGTTATATGAACCTAGGAGTTAGAAAAACACGTAAAATAAAATTAGCAACATGTTCATGTCAATGAGATATTTACCACCAATTCAGTTCTTCTTGTTTGTCTCTTTAAGAAAATTATCTGATTAAAGTTAATTGTTACAGTGGTAAAAATAAATGTTCCTTTTATGTGGTACAATTCACCAAACTCCCAAACTTTAGAAAAGCATGATGCAAAATGTTATGTATCTTAAAGAAGGAAAATATAAGAAATAAACAAGAAAACAAGAAAACAAGAACAGCTGCCTACCAACATCCCTTGCTGCTGGCTGGCATTTAAACCATCCCAAACAACTGAGACTCCCTGAGCAGCCAGGAAGGTCTGCACCAATTCTAGAAAGTGATTTAAAACATCTCATCCTTGAAGAACGCAACAGACTATTCATTTTGGTGATAATGGATTCCAGATATTTAATGTACACCTGACTTAGACCGTATACTGGCAGTCTAAAAATATTTTTCCATATAAAATTTTGTTAAAGGAACTTTGCAAGTCATTACATAATTCCTACTCCAGCAGTGGCTGCTGGCAGCAGTACTAGTGGTACCAGTCTAGTCCCATTTTATTTTCAAAGCTCGAAATAATTTGTATTGTAGGATTTTGACTTTTTCTATGATAATTGAATTAATGGCAAAAAAGGGAACAGCAGCAGAATATACCATATCTTAAGTCTGACCCTCCTATCTTAATTCTTATTGAAAGATTGGCATTGAATAAGCCCTTTATGTACACCACGGTACTAGACTTCATTCATGATCCAGTACTGCCGAAGTCTGTCCCATTGTCATTTGTGACTCAACGTGACGCAAAACCGTTTGCCTTTCGACAATCCAACAATGAAAAAATCGTTCGCAGTACCAGATTCCTCTTTCTAATAATAAAATGCTGCGAGGCCATTTAACCCCTGCAGCTGGAAATATCACATAACGCCAAACAAACTGAGGTATCAAATGAAAACATCTGACCCACCATTAAAAGCTTATTTGGCCATATTAGCTTTAAAAAACAAATATTTTCCAGGGATCATGCTCCTGTGCCACCCTTCCTCTAGCTGGTTCGCTCTGCTAAAATTTGTTTGCTTTACTAGTAAAATCTTATTTTCGTGCCAGCCATCACTGTACTCCAGTTTCTGTACCAGTGTGTTAATGAAACAAAGGCAGCCAGGTTTATCCTTAAGAGCCTTTAAGTGGTGAACTCATTTTGTCTATAGGTCAACTATCATTCGAACGAGTAAATTAAACATCCCTAAGTAATGAATCAATAGTAATTTTAACTTTATTCAAAAGTCACAAGGTCTAAGTAAACTGTACTGAAATAGTATATCACATGATATTCTGTACAACTTGGTCAAATTACTTTACATTTGGTGTCAAATCTCCTGCTGTGCTTGCGGTTTACACATTAATATTCTTAGAAGGTAATCTCTATCTTCCAAGATCATTAAAGGGATGAATGAGAAAATTACGAAATGGAGGCAAAAATCACACAGTTGGTTTGTAATAGATACAAAACTAAGAGTGATAGACATAAAGCTAGAAGTGCAAGGAAAATATGCTAATATACATACAGCTCATTTGTTGCAACATTGAATGGCTCACAGATCTCATTGCCAAAAAATGCTCTGAAACACAACCATAGGAAAGGCTCAATAAGAAGTCAAGGAATTCTTGCATATGTTGGAGATAAAAAGCACATTAAGTCATGGTTTGGCAAATGCCTTCTTTGCATTAGAATTTATCAATTAAAGAAACTATGAAGCAGACAAAGCTTTAAAATCATGTGAATAGAAATCATCTATGCTCTTTATTTTAACATGATTGATAAAACTCTCTGGAGAATATGCTCCTTTTCTCCTTTCCCAAATAAGTTTAATCTTTGATTTTAACTTTTAAATGAAATGACTAGAGATGGAACTCAAACTGAAGACTTACTTGTTGATTTCTGCTTTTTCTGGGTCAAAACCAATGGACAACCTGCTAATCTGGATTGTCTGGATCTTTCCATTTATCTTTATAATGGTCCCTAGAATATGCATTGAATAGGACTATAAAGTTTAATCAAAAACTATTTCGCACCAAAATATTTTTCAACAAAATGGATTAAAATCTAGCAAACAAAGTTAAATTGAACATTTGTTCAAAGAAAAACTTTGGAACAGTAAACTGGGATTTCAAAAGATTGGAATTTTTAAAAGAATGACCTTGGAATTGATATAGCAATAGATGGATAACTTATCAACCCTTTAACATCAGGAATTTTTTTATCTCGAACAAAAAATAATTCAAGCAAAACCATTTACCTGGCAATCCACTCTGGGGTTCAACTTTAGTTATTGTTGCAGTTTGGTAATTGCGATACTGTTTGGAAATTAAAAAATAATTAATTGTAGATATTTGTATTGCTTCACACTCTAGAAAAAGGAACAACATACAGAGCCCTGGGGAAAGATTATCTGAGTCACAAAAAACAGATATATATTTATATACGATCTTAATTCAAATATACGTTTTTCTTAATTCTTTCTTTCTCTCTTTCTCTTTCTTTCTCTCCTTTCTTTCTTTATACAAATAATACTTTGTTCAAATTTAACTAGTGGGTCCAAAGGGGGCTCTCTCTTAATAAGTTTATCCTTTAAGGAGCTCTTTCTTATCTCTTGTATGTTTCTTAAATGTAGTTTGTATCTTCTATGTAAATTATTTGTTAAATTGCTATTTAGGTGATGTTTTATGTATTCTTGGCTGTACTTGGGTATATTTGTCAATGAAAAAACTGAACTGACTGTTATATGTTTAGGTAACCAATGGGAGCATAAAAACTCTTTTTTGCATGAATGAACAAAGCTCTTGAATGGATAACTTTTGTTGGCAAATAAGTCTTTGTCAGGATTATGAATGGTAAAAAAGCCTCCTAATGTGTACTCACAGCTGCTTTGTCTCACATAATAACAGTTAACTGAGTGGAGGTATCTTAAGTAACTCATTAAAATGGCCTACCCTGAAAATGCAGTTTCCTCCACAATATGTTCCCCAAGCATCATTGTTCAGCCACTTGCCATCCACTTTGATTTTGACTTTATAATCAGCATCTCCAGTTGGGGATGATCTAAGTTATGAGGAGCAGCATTAAAAATTTGCACCTTCATCTGATTACACACAAATATAAATGAAACTATTGCAATTAAAAAAATGAATGGTATTAGGGAAAACAGCTTTTTCAAGTTGCATTAAAATGATTTTAAACTCCATATAAATTCATTGGTAGTGCCAGTCATGCCCTATTTGGAATAAGGCAACACTCTTTTACCAGCATAGAAGCCAATTTTTTCTGATAAGGAATACCAATGGCTAAGTTTTGGTTACTTAAAGGCAAATTCATAATGAAAAAATCATATCACAAAGAATAAATTTCAAAAATATCACTGCTCCTCAAAATTTTCCGACTAAACTTAAATGAATTATAACATTGATACAACCAACAACTGGAGGGGGTGATGTCCCCCCTAGTCTCTCTTTGGGTGCTGTCATTGTATGAAATTATCAAAAACCAATAATTTATGAAAAACTGCTTAGCTTAGTTGGCTTCTATGTTCCTGATCCCCTGTTATTCTAAGTGTGCTTAAATGTTTTTGGCCCCTTGTATGTATGTATATCAATGTTCCAATGGCCAAGATAACAAGACAGGATGTTGAGAGAACAATGTGACTCACCGAGTTTCACACAAGATTCTGTTTTCATTTGTATCTGTTGAGACTATGTCACAACCAAGAATTCTCCCAGTGACCGTGTGAATGAAGACAACTTCATTCCCTTTGGTGGGATCGTCAAAACTGAACTGATCAGCGGAAAACCCTGCAAATTAAAGCATATACTTTGAAAACTAATAGGCCATCATAGGAAAATAATATACAGAGTCATTTTGCACAGTGGTTTCAACTAGAATTTTAAAGCAGTGCCCATGAGGTTAGAACTAGAAGGGGATATCACTAGACTAGATTTGTTTCTTTGCCCAATACTAATAGTCTAAATGGATTAATAGATATCTACTGTAAATGGGGAGGGGCACACATTACTGATGCTTGTACAAATAACAACAATCAATCTCACCAAATCCTCTGATTTGAAGAAGAGTGCCTCCACGCTGGCTGCCATAGCTTGGTATCAAATTGGAGACTTCACCTGAAATTGATAAAATTGATATCGATTATTAAAATGTTGTTGATGTTGTTGCTGTTGACTTGCTGCGCAGCTACAGCCAATGATCACAGGTCTAAGCTTCGGTGCTCTCTCGAAATACACCAGAGAAACAAGTTTAATAGAAATAAATAGCTTCAAAGAAACAGATAATGGATGTTGCAATTATTCTTACAAGGATCAACTTTGCCTAATTATTCTTATCCTCACAAGGCTCTGGTACCCAGGGCATCAGGCCATTTCATTCAGGTTGGGGGAAGCGCCAAAACAAACGAAAAAGACCACAAGTGACTTTTAGCAAACTGTTAAAATCGAATACGGATCCAGGCGTGAATCTAGCCAAAATTTTGACCGGTTTTGGTGTAGTTTATCCCATTACAGCCCTGTGTGTTTTTGCCCACACTTTCATCTAATATGTCAGAATTTTACTCCATACAGCATGGCCTTTGATCCTCTTCTTGCAACCTCGATTCTAATTTCTACGAATTTTTCCGAGAAAAAACGTCTAGTCCCCTTAATAGAAAAAAACATTAGATTCTTATTTGCATCCGTATTCCATTTTGTATCATTTTGTTTTAAAGAGTCCATCATTTCGAGCTAGAGATATCGATATTGAATATGCTTTTTAGTTACCGGTTTTTTTCGCATAAGGGAAACATATGGACACCGGTTTCAATATTGGCGCGTAGATAGAATACTTCAAGCTGTCACATCGAATGGGATCAATATTGCCATTGAACGATTTATGGGTTATGGCTATAACAACCCTTCTTATCTGTCAGCCTTATAGGGTCTATATTTTCTTGTTCTAGATAGGAAAGAAAATCATGAATATCTGAAAGATTTTCGATAAAAAAAGTTGCCGACCAGGCATAGTCACTGTTCCAAACATTTTCATAAATTTCGAAGCTTGATATTTGACAAGTTCTTATTATCTATAACCAATAAAAACGAGACTTTAATTGCGAGGTCTCTACTGAATTTTTAAACCCCTATATCAATAATAGATAGATAATTTCAATGAATTATTAATGTCATTTTAAGGTAAATATTTTCTGTAGCATAGCAAAATAAAGATTAAATTGACAGTTTGTCCAAGAAGGAAAAATTTGCGAAAATAGCAGCTGATTAATCTGTTTGAAAAGAATGTGAGAGTTGCATCAGTGAAAACTAAACACACAATGTTAAATTGAAAGAATCACAATGACCTTACTAAAAGCTAATATTTTCTTGATTTCTTAAAATTATTACGGGTTAACGAATGCCAATCGCACACATTAAAGCAAGAAATGTACTAAGAGTAGTTGAATAGGATCCTTTCATGAGTACAAATTACAAATTGCAGCTTAATTCAAAATCCATTTTAGCGCAAATCGAAATGTAAATATAATATTCCGCTTTGCGATCGATAATAACTCAATTTTAATTGAAGGTATCTAAAACGTTCCAGTAAGCAGCTGTAGCATTCTCTGTTACAGGGGACTCTTACGTTTGCAAGCCAAGGTGACTTTGTTGCCAACTATTGGACCGCATATACCCTTTTTGGGTCACTTGGCTGTGAAATTGTAGTCGGTAAAGTCTAGCTCTAATAGTCCCTTTTGTAATTTTAAAACACCCGGCAAATGATTTGTATAATATAGGATAAATCAAATGTCATTTAATGTTTACGGGGGGATTGAAGCATTTAAACTTCTTAAGATAAGCAAAACCCTTAAGATCACAAAACGAGTTATTAATTTTTGGTAATATCGAGCATTATCTTCATTTCAATGTTTGATATAAGTCACAGAAATCTAAAATAGAATGCTTAAGCTGCAAATGCATTTCAAACAAGCAGCGATTGATAAAACCCTGCAAGGAACACGACTGTTAAACGCCTTTTTTATTTTTGCAAAAGACAATTGGCATCTGAATCTAAATGTTTTGTATACTATGTTTGAGAATTATTTAATAAGTAGTAAGTAACACTGAAATCGACTTACCAAGCTTTGTTGCCGCGGCGATATGCAAGATGCCTGCAAGGAAAGAAAGATGCATCATTTTGTATCTTTCCATGACGGAGCGTGATGAAAAGTGACGGGTATACCGTTGCACCCACGCATTTAAACACAGGTGAGAGCACGAAGCGAGTCAACGAGGCTGTGTCAAGGGGCAAGCAAGGTGACAGGGGCTATTTGTAACTTAACCTTGTTACAGAAAATTAGGAATAAGAGCGGGAGGGCAAAATTTTACAAAAATTTCTGAAACAAGACCAGGCGTCGATTTAATCATTTATACTATAAATAATTTGAATGCACCAACCAGAAACGTGATGCTTGTGACATCTTTCGGGCATATTTGATCAAAACTGAGTTTAATAGAACAGTAAACTTTTTATTAAATTCTGAGATTTCCGCTTCAATAATTGAAATTTCTTACTAGTTATGCAGCTTATCGCGAGTGTGCACAAAATACAGGGTGCAAAAAAGATTGATCGTGTTAAATTTTCGGTGGAAAATAGCTAGCAACAGTGACGAGAAATTATATCAATGTTATAACATTTCGAGCTAAACTGTATCTTTATTATATGAATGTTAGTTTATTATATATATGAAACAACATATCAAGTATGAAGTATCTTCTTGAATGCTAATTGAACTTGTCCAAGAAGAACAAGATGATAGCTAGCTCAATTTAATATTAATAGAAATTCGTTTACAGACAGTACCTCAACAACTGGGAATTGTGGAATCTAAAAAAGTATTTCAAGAATGGTTTCTTTCGAACATATTTTGTATCCAAATGATCGAATTCAACTCTAGGAAAGCTTTGTTCCTCCCATCAACCCACGGCTACTGACTTTGTTACATAACTTATGTCTTCAACACATGTTTATTTGCATACAGCAAAACACATCAATTAGTTTACCTAAGCCGCGCTTTGCACCTACGAGATCCAAAATTGGTTGTCTAAGTGACCCTGGATTCCCTAAGTAACGGTAATGCTGGACAGGGATCGATGCCTATAACCATGAATTAATATCTCCATATGGTTACTGGATAAAAACTAAGCTAGGGTAAAAACAACTACACGAATTAAGGAACGATAGTTGCTGGGATTTGCGATTCTCCATCTTTCAAGTTGAAGAAAGTTTCTCGTCTCTTCTCTTTTAAAAATACAAATGTTTTCTAGATAATATTGTTAATGAATTAATATATTAAATTGTTCTATTAAAGCGTTAACTAGCTTTATTTGAAAGACTTGGCTTATGTTATTATATGGCAAATCATTCTAACGAAGAATAAATCGGATCTCACTTTACAAATGATTGTAAATTTTTATTTAGACTTAAAGCTCGTAGGATTGATACAAGCAACAAAAAAGAGTTTTTGCCTTCTTTAAACCAAAGTTCATTTCTTTCTTTAATTTTCACTTTCATTTTTTTTGCACTTCTTTCTTTTATTGCTTTTCATCCTGATTTTCTTCATGGCAAATCTAAATTTATCTCAAGCTAACTTGAGTTGCTTTTGACTTTGAGTAAACCAAATTAACAAAACTGCCTCCATATGGTTCAACGAAACTGCTGCGAATATTTGATCAGTTGATACATTCTTCAACAAATGCAACCCATTATCCTTCGTTGCACACACTGTGATGCCATTTAGTCATTAGTACTGCAAACTGTCTTACAAGTTATGTAAACACTGCAGCTAGCAAAATTGCCAAAATAGCTTTATTCTTGTAATACGAGCCAGATTTCTGTTAGTGATGAGTATATGTTTTCATTTCTTACCCCATTTGCCCTTTAGATCTCTCGATGTGTTTGTTTAAGCGTTAAATATTCAGGAATATCGTAAGCGAGCCAACAAAGAGGGACCTTGTGGTGTTTAAGCCTCCCCAACAACTTACAAAAATGTACTTGAAACCATCTAAAAGTCATAATTCTTATAGCCACTCCCCGAACTTTTAAACCCCTCCAGTCCCGAAAGTGTTTCAATCCATTTTAAAAATTGACTACATGAAGAAACATTATTTTCACTTCACGGTAAAGAGTTAGGTCTTCACCGATCTAAGAAAACTGGAGACATAGAAGGAAAACTTTGCAAAATGCACGAGCAATTACCCTGGAGGCAACTTCTGAAGACCAAATCATTGGGCGCAAATAAGGCTTAAAACCGTTTTGTGTCATAAACAGTCAACTGCAAAAGGCAATGGCAAACGGATGTTCTCTTCAGGTACTACAATGTCTGCGGTGCAATGTATCAGTTGAGCGTTATCGGGTCGGTCTTCTGTTGTATTTATGATAAGAAGTGAGGATGAAAAGTTTCTATAAACAATATCATAGTCGTATAATGGTTGCCAAAATAGAGAATGCTGTTTCAGATAACTAAAGACGTATTTTAGCCACCATGAGACAAAGAAGAGGCTAAGTGGTTGCGAGGCTTAAGATTCATCGTCATGGAAACGTGAAATGAGATTTGACAGCTCTTATACTTAGAATGGTGTGGTCATGTTAATGCAATAAACTGGATTTATCTTCAGAAAATATTTATGATTGTCTTGTAATATGATTAGGATTTAAAACATGAAAATGGAAAACGACAAGCTTATTTTATTTTCAAAGCATCGTGGTAGTGTAGTATAGTTGATGACAGCTTTTATACAATCGAATGTACACTTACGTTCAAAAAGTATTGGGACACCCTTCGAAACTTCGAAGACATTTTATGCAACAAATTCGGAAAGACTTTTTTAAAATCTTTCTCATTAAAAAAGTACGGCAGTTATTTCCATGAAATTTTTACAAGACATTGTTGATATTTTGAAGCCTTTTATGTACGCCAAAAAATTAAAAATTCATCTACCATAAAATTTCTATAGGTCTCGAGACGAAAACATGGAAGCTCTGAAAACTCAAGAACTGAGTTAAGAGAAGCGCTTACAAAGTGCTTTCTACTTTAATAAAGAAAATGGGTTTTGCGATATTGCATCAATTCTCGGCTGCTCAATGAGTGCAGCTTTTCTGGTGTGTAAAAAGTTTTTCCGTACAAGAACAGAAAAAAATTTACCAAGGGTTTGCAGACCAAAGAAGTTTACGACGCCTAGGGACGACAGGTCTTTACTGAGGGAACTGCGAAGTAATAGGTTTGAATCCTTACCAGACATCGTGTTGTCATGTAAAAAGAAGCTAAATAATGGAACATAAGCAAAAGCATGGCTATGAAAGTCATGAAAAATACCAATTTTCCAGCGTTATAAGAAGAAAATGCTCTCTCAAAGCAAAAATTAATCATCGACGATGAGTCCAATGGCTTCTCCTTGAATGTTACGCAATTTTAAAAGTAGCTTGAATAAATGCAATAATTTAATAAATTTGTAGCATTTTCGTCGATGAAGTAAACTTTTTTTGAAGCTTAAAAGTTTGATTTTATAATTTCTTTAATGATTTCTTTTGTTATGCAAACGTGAAACTAAAAAGTTGTATTTGTTTGGACAGCTCTAAAATTTTTGGAAGGTCATGTGACTTTGCCATTGTTAGGCCATTCAGCCCTTCTGCATATTTTGCTGTTATAATCAGGAAAATCGAAAGAATCCTGTGTTTTCTTGGTTATTTTTCATAAGTTGAAGCATTTTGTTAACTTTTTATTCCATTTTGGGGAAACTTGGGCCTATATTATTTGTAGAAAGACTGCCCAAATCTGAAAAAGTTTCCGTTGCAAAACCGAATCCAACGGAACGCCATAATTCGTTTATCGAATTCGTCCCAATACTTTTTGAACGTAAGTGTAGGTAGAATACTAGAAGTTTTGTAGTGTTTTAAAGCCAGGTATGTAAAAAAGTATATTAAAGGCATTTTAAGTAAACAAAATCTGCAGAAATTGAAGGCAATTAGGCCTAAACATTCTGGAATGTTCTACCCTAGAAGTTTTCTTTAAGATATTATTTCAAGGAAGCTCGTCCTATTTTCACTGAAAAGTTTGAAAATATTTTGTTATTTGAATATGTTCTAATAACAAAATATTCTAAATTATTTGACATTGCTTTCGTTTAACTGGTGTGCGCCTACATTTCTGAATGCACAATTAAGAAAACCCATTTGAAGGCGGATTATAGATTCTCTGTAACTGGGAATAAAATAAAAGGAGGTTCAAATGTTTTTGAATATTTCATTCTTATACAGTTCAAAGTTTACCCTGGGCACCAGAGCCTCTAAGGAATCAGGTTGGATAGAGGAGGGGTAAATTGAAAATCGACTCAGGTTCTTAGGGGCTCTGATGCCCAGAGTAACCAATGTTTTACTAAAACGCTTTAAAGCTAATTCTAAATGTGCTATCAAATTTTGATGGGATCCAGAAGCTAAGCTTTAGATGCATTCATGTAAGCCTTGTCTTGAAATTACATACAGAAGTCAAGTGAAGCCTAACAAAATTAGAGCATTCGATTAATCAGTGTCGTCGGATTGTAAATTCATATTTGGGAAAGGAAATATAGAACAAATTGACAATTATAGGGGGGAGGGCTCAAGATTCCTATCGCCCCGCTTCCAACAGCCTTGAGTATGGAAATAGTAGGGTTGTCCTTCAGAGATTTTCTTCGTGACCAAAACTATGAGTCCTTTTCCATTACAGTGCATCGGTGCCACGGGATAGCCAGGCATTTTACGATACACATACCGCAGATCTACTTCAACCGAATGTTGCCAAATATTTGTTACAGTGGAGAACCAAACATGATGAGATAATTCACTTTGGGTTTTTCTCAGCCTTCCCCAAATCGTTTGAGCCTCTTTGGAAATGCATGGTTCAAAAGATTGCAGAGGACTGGAGCCAACTCGGCCTTATTAACCCTTTACTGTCCACAGTTGCCATATGGCAACTAAATAATCATTGGTCGTTCTGTACAGGTAGTCTGTGTTTTAGCTTACCAAATCTTTTTGTGATGTTGCTATGGATATCTCTTTTATTGAATTGAATGTTTTGATTGGTTTGTTTTGTTGTTGGGAGGGAGAAGTGGCGGTTTGAGCAGCGACAGTTCATCACAGTTTTCAGTGGCTTTCATCGGTTGGAAATTTTATCGCTAAAAGTTTCGCAAATATATTGGTTATCACTGGATAGTCTATTCTCAAAGATCATATTTGGATGTGGAAGACGACATTTATTTGTCGACAGGTTGGTTCTTACATTTATTTGCTTCTAACAATTTGGTTGCCATTTGGCAACTACGGTCATTCATGGTCGAATTTGTTAAATGGGCCTAAGTATGTTTACAGTCGTGTTTCCTTGTCTTCTCGACGAATTTACAGAAACACAATGGTGATTTTTGCATTGTTGGACTGTTCCTTGATTTTTAAACTTTATATTTCAATTTCAGTTTATAAGTGATGGAGACAAGATGCAAAGTGAGATACAATCTTGAGGAAGCTTTGCAGTACGTGGTAACACCCGGGTCTGACTCAGAGATTTCCGATCTAGAAGATGATGATGGTGAAGATCTAGATAAAATACAGTTAGAAAGAGAACCATGCCAAGAAGCCTCTGTCATGTCTGATAATTGTGAAATTATCGAGGATGGAATTGAAGATGCAAGCCAAAGTGATGAGGTCAACAGCGGAAAAGAAGGAAACAGTAGTGCAGCAACAAAGAAGCACTCTTATCGTTGGAGTAGCCGTAAGCCACCAGTGACAGATGCTACTTTTAGCGGCCCACAGTTTAGCTTACCTCCTGACAATTTTGATCAGCTTACTCCACTATGGTATTTTAACCAGTTCTGGGATGATACCATGACCAATCAGCTGGTAGAGCAAACAAACTTGTATAGTGTCCAAAAGACTGGTACAAATATACTGACCCACAAAAATGAAATTGAGCAGCTAATAGGGATCCAGTTGAAGATGGGCATAGTAAAAATGCCAAAATACAATAGTTATTGGGCAGGTGAGACAAAATACTCTCCTATTGCTGATGTTATGGCGTTAAACAGATACAGAAAGCTAAGACAGTTTCTTCATGCAAATGATAACTCTGAGAAGGACAATCCAGAGAGTAAAGGCAACAAGCTGTACAAGATTGATCCAATTCTTCAATCTTTGCGTGAAAATTGCCAAAAAATTGAGCAGGAAGAGTTCCAATCCATCGACGAGCAGATTGTCCCTGCCAAGACAAAGTTTAGTGGGATAAGACAATACAATCCTAAAAAACCCCACAAATGGGGCTTCAAGAATTTTGTGAGAGCAGGTCAGAGTGGAATGATTTATGACTTTTTCTTTTATACTGGAGCTGCTAGTGCTGGAGGTGAAAAAACCTCTGCAAAAAATGTTGTCTTAAAGCTCTGTGAGAATGTCTTGACTGGTTGCAATTATAAAGTTTTTTTTGACAATTGGTTTGCAACGTTAGATCTTTGCCTGGTTCTCAAGGAAAGGGGCATTTTAACGACAGCCACTATCAGAAATAATCGTCTTGCTGGTTGTACTCTGAAAAGTGAAAAAGAGATGAAAAAGGATGGAAGAGGCAGCTTTGGGTTCCAAACAGACCAGAATACTGGGATGGTTGTCTTGCGCTGGTTTGACAACAAGTGTGTTACACTTGTGTCAACATACCTCAATGTTGATGAAACAGTAAATGTCAAAAGATGGAATTCATCTAGTAAAACACATGTAGATGTTACCTGCCCAATGATTGTCAAGGCATACAACACATCAATGGGGGGTGTGGACCTGGCAGATATGCTGATAGCATTGTATAGATGCAAGATAAAAACCAAACGATGGTATCTTGTAATCCTTTTTCATGCAGTTGACATTGCAAAAGTGAATGGCTGGTTACTCTACAGAAGATTTTGCTCTCAAATTAAAGTACCTTCAAAAAAACAATTGCCCCTTCTGACTTTCACAGCCAAAATTGCTGAAAGCTTGACAAAAGCAGGAAAGGCAATGACCAAACCATCAGTGGGCAGACCAAAAAGGAGTTCATCCCAAATGTTTGATGAACATCAACCGAAAAAGGGGAGAGCTCCAAAAACTGTCCTTCCAGATCCTGATTCAAGATATGACCAGCTGGGTCACTGGCCTTACTATGATGAGAAGAAAAATAAATGCAGGCTTTGCAAAACAGGCTACAGTCGTGCATACTGTGAAAAATGTAAAGTGTGCTTGTGTCTCACTTCTAATAAAAACTGTTTTCGCGACTTTCACAATTTGTAATAGAGTCAATTTAGAACACTTTAGAACAGTACTATTTAGTGGATTTTAGCTCTGATTTACTGCTTTTGTATGGATGTATGATGTTTATAATGTTCTGTTGATTTTATGAAACATATCTATTTTTGTGTTTTCACCTTTGATGTCCATAGTTGCCATACGGCAACCATTGAAAGACAATAGAATATAATGAAATTTTTGGAAAAAAAAATAATTTTCATTTTTAGATATGCATTTAGAGTGTAAATTACCAGAAGAATAATTTTTTCAAATGAATTTTGAATAATTGGACAGTAAAGGGTTAAAAGTCGTGCAATCTCAGGTCAGAGGAGTTTGTTGACATAAATAAAGCATTCAAGATAAACGGTTTCCTTTACTTGTTGAAGTAAACCAACAGTACATAGAGCAGACACAATCTTGTCACTTTTCCTGAGGAATATAAAAATCGTCTTAAATCCATTTGAATTTTCATTTTGTTTGCTGAAGCTTTATGTTGCATTAGCTCGTTACTCTTTGTTGGATTTGAATTAACAAAATGCTAAGACAGGTTTCGCGTTTTAGAATTATGTCAATGCTCGACGAGTTTAACTAAGTTCATTGTGTACCCACAATAATTTAAGAAGCAATTTGAAAAAATCACAAGCTAATTTAAAATGGAATCTCAAAAGGTTTTTTCATGGCCAAAGAGACCCTAAAAATTTTCTTGCTATAAGATTAACGCAATTTTATAGCAAGTTAATAAAGTGAGAATGCGCTTAAGAGTATAAAATGCTTTCTTAACCTTGAACCTTGAAATTTAAGAGCAGCTTGAATTTTGTCTGGTCATGTCGACGTTTCGATCATGCAAACTCATAAATGCAGATTTTTTTTTGATCATCAAACATTCAGATGACATAGTTCATAAAAAGAGGTTGAAAAAACGATTTTTCTTTTATCAGATTGGTATATCAGACGGTCCCATAAAATACAATTTTAGGTAGCATAAAATACAACTTGTGTCATGCTAAGCATTTTTGGCACCATAATAACTTAATCAAACAAATTAAGATGGAGGTGAAAAATAGAGTTTAACGACATTTTGATGCATGAACTAGTGTCAAATGAATTTGCTATCAAACTGCATCACTTTATTGTCTTTCATAAACAGAACAGTGCAGGTCACAGCGTTGGCTGTTTCAACGAAAATTTCAAAAACATGCAAATATGTGCAAATTAGGTTGTAGCGAGTAAATCACCAATATTTGCACTAATAATTGCTGAAATGAAAATATTTGCATTTTGTATTCTCGCTATGAGTAAGGTTTTTAGAACTTGGAAGCCTAAAGTATTGCCTATAAAATGTACTTTATAAGAAAACCGCATTTAAAACAGGGAATAAAGCAATATTTTATATCTGTTTTAAAACAAATTGGCACCAAATCTAAAAATGTGTTGTCAAGATAAATAAAGCCCAGTAAAGGTTGAGTCTAGTCTTATTATTCAAAAGTGACAGCCTCAAATTGCCAAAACTTTGACGCTTTACTGCGTTCTATTGAAAGTGAAAACTGGAGGGCCCACGAGTGCCCACAAGGATCATGTCTAGCCTTTAAGCTCTTTTTCGGTAGTTTTATTGCAGTTACATAGAGTTCAAGCCTATCCATTGTGCTTAAAGTTGTATTCATTCATGCATTGGTATATTGGCTATAAGATTTATGTACCAACATTTCAAAGAAAACTTTTGAAAAACGAGTACAATGCAATTTTCCATTTGAAGTCTGTTTTCATGTACGAAGCAACACAATTTATGACGGTCTTGTGTAATTCGTCGTATGAACACTTTCAGAAAAGTTGTACGCTCCCTTTGCATTAAGGATAGTTTTTCGCTGCGGTGGGGTTTAATCATATTACCTTCACTGTTTCGGTACATGAGAGAGGCTCTTTCGATTCATTTCTTAATCACCGGAGGATATGATAGCGCCAATAGTGCGTGGGTGCCAGGATAGTAACAGGGACCTAATATTGACTGTTTTCTTGTAACAAAGGCCTAGATTCTGGGTTATCATAATAATCCTAATAGCCAGAGATAAACAGCCGAGAGTCCCAGACCAAAACATAAGTTGCATAAGATAATGTTATTTCTACACGTGGATGTAAATTAATGATGTAGTATCAGTTTGTTGCCAAGCCATAGTATCTAAGGCTCATACAAAGATGGCACCTGTGGTTTCTATCTTAATGTTGATAGATAAATTTTTCAAATGAATAGTATTGCAGAAAGGGACGGCTTTCCGCAAGCAAATTACGTAACATATTTTTGTTCACCTCAGAACTCACACAAGCTCATCAATACTAGTTTTTATGTACATTCATAAACCCTAAACAGGACAATACGTAATGGTCTTCACAAAGTTGAAAGAAAGTCGAAAGAAATGTACCTTTCAAGGAAACAGTATTTGTAATAAGTAAATTTTGTCATAGAAAATCATTAGAGAATAGCAGGTAGTAGTCAGTAAAAAACTGGTAAAATTTTATAAACAAAGAAAAATAGCGACAATCTAAGAATATTCAAAAGAAAAAAGATAAACAGCAGGCGTCTTAACAAGCGAGGGTGTAATATTTAGCAGAAGTTTATTTCTTTTCTATTAGCAATCGAGACAAACAGCAAACAATTAGGTATAGGTATTCTATCAGCATTTGTTTGCCATGGTTTGCGGGTGCAGAGAGCAGTTTGAATGTGACGAATGGGGTTAAGCAGGGTTCGGCATTGAGTCCATTCCTGTTTGCATTGATGAAGAAATATGTGACAGCAGATGCAGGTGGTAAGCACGTTATGTTTGCAGATAAGACCGTTCTCATGGCAGAAAGTCTGACGGAATGACAGGAATTGATTGTGAGGTGGAATGATAAACTGGAAGAAAATGGATTTAAATTGAACGCGAGGAAGACCAAATGGATGAGGGTCGGTGACCTGGTGATGGAGGATAGGGAAGTTGATGCTGGGAGAGGAGATTGTTGAACAGGTCCATGAATTCGTGTACCTGGGGTCCTGCTGAACAAAGTAGCTGACCCAGCAGCAATTGCAAAACTCCGTAAGGAGGTCGCATTGAACAAACAGAGATTTCAGCTATCCTTTATAAGAAATTCACGAAAAGAACCAAGATAAAAGTGTTTGAAAGAATATTGATGGCTTTCATTCTCTGCGAAATCAAAGTTGTACAGTATAGAGCGGATATGGGGGAATGTTTGGAAGCTGGACAGGCCAGGGGATTGGGGGCTATCGAGGAGGTGACCTTGTTAGACAGAGTAACGAACAAGGAATAAGGGAAGAGGCTGAGGGTAGAGGACTTTGGAATGGTGAAGGGATGGAACAAGGGGACTTTGGAATGGTACAGGCATGTCAAAACGTCGGAACCGAGAGCGACAGTGAGTGAGGCATTAAGAAATATGAGATGGCAGAACTTGGACGGAGAAGGCCATCAACATACTGACAAAGATTATCTGAGAAGATAACAGCAGAGAAGGAACTAGTGAAGGAAGAAGCGCTTGAGAGGAAAAGGTGGAGACGGGGGATCAAGAGGGGGAGAAATACCTTCGAGAAGACCCTCATTATAATGATTTGGTTACCATCTGACATTTCTTACTCAGACGCAAACATACGATATTTAAAAAATATGGTGATATTTCGAGATGTTACAGGTCGTCCTGCATTTTCGTGCAATCCTTGAAATGGCGCACGGATTCAGTGAACCGCAAAATTAAAAAATCATAATCTGAAAGTGAATAATAAATAACAAGAAATTGCAATACTATTTTAATATTCAAATCGGTTGCAGGTCATCAGATATGTCTCATGGGCTCACACCAACCTAAATATTTATAACTACCAAAGCTTCATACCTCAATATCCTTGAAGAAAACTAAGCATGTAATGACGTCATCAAATAACGACGTAAAAGCTTCAACCACAACAGGGCCCTTATTGATAACAATAATCGTAGCATTGACAAGTTTTTCCCCTGTATAAATATTCCTCTTATATATTATCATTTATTGATTACAGTGGACAGTATTTGTTAATCAGTAGAAGAGTGAATGTGTATCGCGTATATCAGAAGCAATGACGCCTAATGCAAATCAGTCTGTTTTTTTAGGTTACTTCAACCTGCACAGGCGGGATTTACGTAACAATCGAAATATAGACCCCTACTGATCGACAAAGTATAAACAATTTAGGGATCGAGTATTTATAGTAATTTATGAAAACAGAAAAAACTTATATTCTTTGTTGTTTACGTTGAAATAGATTGAAACGAAAAATGAATAAAAAGACAAGAAGAATCAGATTGAAAGGTTAACAAATCGGCATTTATTGCTGCTGTTTGTCTTATAAACCATTTATGTTTATTTATACAAAGTTTAGATTTAAAGAATAAACTAAATCAATGTTTCTGTTACATGCATCTTTTCCCTTTCAACAATAAGGGAAATAAGACTAGTCGGCAGGTGAAGCATTGTCATTAATTTGTGAAAATAAGAATTTGAAATCTTACTTGATGCCTGTTTACAATTTTAAAAATGTTAAACAATCGAAAACTTTCAGATGTCAGGAGCAAATCTCAACTTTTCATTGTAGGATTTTTAGATGCTAATTATATAGGCCTTTGCCTAAAGCAAGGATTCAAGGACTTGACAGTAGGAAATCTCTAAGCAAAAGCTTGGCATTATCTGTCAGGATGTTATCATAAGACTTGCCATTTACGCATTTCCTTCAAAACTTTGCTTTAAGGAAAAGCTTAAAATAGTCTTAATTTTGAAATCATAATTGTAGGAAGTGCCATCATAGTTGTAGGAGGTTTTTTGAATGTAGGGGGGCATGCTTAAAATGGCACCTACGAGAAAGGCAAATTAAACTTTTTTTCCTATGAAACTTATGAAAGGTTTGTGGGCATATGCCCTTTTCCCCTCCCATCCCAAAGTCTATAGGTGCCAATGCCATCTGACAATAAAAAGATAGATCTTTCTTATGAAGAAAGATAAAAAATTTGATATGAAAGTAGATTTGGCTCAAAATTGCAAAAAGTCGCGTGATATCAATATTTGACTTCTGACGTCATGTCCTACATTGACTCCGATATTACAGTTTTCGGAATTGTGTCACAAGCAAAAATACAAAAACGGTGTGAAATGTTAATGCTTGCATTGCTTGATAAGATTGGTAACGACAGACATGATAAAAGGTGGCAAAATTGGCTTTCAGTATACATGATAGAAGTATCAAATCGACAGTGGTGGCTAGTGTGAGATTTTTTGGGCAGCCGCAACTGCCATTTTCTTCGACAGAACAGGTTTCTTCATAGAACTCTTTGCCAATGAATTCACACAATAACGTCATTAAATAGCATTGAAAAGCAAAAGCTCTGGGCTTAAAATAAATGTTTCTTCTTTCAAGGCTTGTATAAGTTGGACATTTCTATGTTCTACTCATATGATTCGTGGGTTTTCAGAGCCAATAAATTTCTAACTAGAACCTTGTAAGGTTGGATTCGAAAAAGGGCTCATCTTTCTGTTCATTTCACAATCTACAAGCTGTGCTGCAAAATCAAAAATTAAGCAAGATTTGATCTCGAAAACTTTCTAGCGTGAAAAAGATATTTAAGTGAATTATCACCTATTGATTAGAAAGTTACCAACCCTATCCACTCTAATGGTGTACAACTTTAACCTTTAAACAGGTAAGAAGTGCTATTGCGAAAATATCACAAAGACAATGATGAAAGCATAAGTATCGGTATACATATCAAAATTTGTCTACTGTCAATCATTATTGGTAACAGTGATTTCACTAATTACGACTAATATTATGCAAGACAAGAGATTTAATTAGAGTCTCAGAAACTCCAGAATGAGCAGACACTTTTATTTTTATTTGCAAAAACCCACGTTATGATGAGTTGCTTGAAATTTTCTATATTTATGGCTGTTTGTATTTGAAGAAAACTCGAATTCTAAAGAGCGATTGGTCATTCTGAGGTATCAGCAAGGGCACTCAACCCCTCCCCTAGCATGATACCCGGACCATAAGATAGTAAAATGAGCTATCAAAAAAGCAAAGTTCTTATTTAAGTGTTGCTTTGGGTCTATTAATACGAATCACCACACCTCTGGCCTGCGTCTTAAATTACACTAAATGTTGAAGCCATGCGACATAGAGCATCAGAACATTTCGATGCAAAAGTAGCTTTTATTTCGAATTTAATCAACCGATAAAAGGCTATGACGGGAACTAAGAAGGGTCTTTTATAGAGAGTTGCATCAGAATGAGAAAGTGCTCTTGGTAAAGATCAACCCATCGTTTGCACAGATGCCTGAGAAAAACTGATGTAGTTTAGCAATGGTAGCAAAATTCTTCGACGAGACAAAGAATCTTCAAAGAACTACAAATTAGATTAGCACGAGAATCTAGAGAAGATAACCTAAAGACATGGTCGTCAGTCAGTGTATACATAAAGAACATTTTTCGTAATTCACGAAGAAGAACTTCGTTTAAAAGTCATGGGTCTATGTAGAATGCCGACTTAAAGAAAGCCAAGATTTTCAGTTGAAAGTTTTCGTTAAGGATCAGCTCAGGTAGGGATGTAGGATGCTGGTTTAATCGAAGATCTGCTTCTTAGCTTCTCAGGATTGTGACATAGAAAAAAGCAATGTTTAATGCAAAAGGCGCTTGATAGAATCCGTCTTTAAAGTTTCCTGCTCCTTACGAATCAGAACACGAAGTTAACACAATGTGAAAATTAAAAACTTGCAGCAACAAGCTAAGTCATCAAATTTTCATGCCTTTTTTCAAATTAGGTTTGGTAGCAGTTACTGCTCAATGCAAATATTTATGAAATTAAAAGTTTCACAAAAATGATAGCAGAACTCACCATATGCGATAATGAAAGCACAAAAAAGACAAATCTTTTGTTTAATCGCCATCATCCGAGCATTGCAAAGGCAGAATGGCGGTTTCCTTGCTAAAGAGATTCTTTTTCAAGTGCAAACGTATTCAGTATAGAACTATTGAAACTCATAAGAATGTCAGGTACCAACAGTGGCTTTGCTTTAAATCGAATATATATATGTGCGGTTATATATGTGCGGTTAGAAGCACTTAGAACCGATGACATTGTCTTAAATATATCTTTCGACAGGCAGCCGTGTTTTCACCATGTAGCAGGGTTATATTTCAACCGATTTAGATGTAATTATAACAATCTGAGACCGGGGAATGGTTTTTTACGACGCGACGTAACTTAGTTTCATCTCTTGAAATCGATCAACCGAGAAACCGGGAGGGGGGGGGCACTGGAGCTTGGCCTCCCCAAAACACTAAAGTTGCATAAGTAAAATACTTTTATTTTGGGCTGCCCCCCCCCCCCCGAAAATAAAACGTTGTATCACGGCCTTTGAATCAAACGCTACAGCTACCCAAATTGATTGCACGCACTTTTAATCAGAAAACATGCACAACAAACCGGCCTAAAATTGATAGAAAAGAATTGAAAGCCACAGTACCGATCCCTCTCAACCTTAAAAAAGTGCATGAAATGATAATTTTAAAGATTGAATGATAATAGTTCTTCAAAACCCAAAAGGTACCGATTTTATGATCTAATTGACATTGAGAGAATACAAAGAACTTTTCCTAGCGACTAAGTAGGTGTTCTATTTTATGTTATCTTATTATGTTACGTTATTTTTTCTTTTGACTATCTCTTTAGCACTTGGAACTCAAAAAACTTTTTTTTAAGAAACTCTGGGTATTGAAAAAGGAAGGAGATAGGTTTCGTATCAGGGTATCTGGGCTTAATTTCATACAAACATGTGTGTACAAGTTCTCTTTATCAGAAAAGAAAGGAGAGCCCAGATTCAACTCTTTTGAGGCAAAATATCAAATAAGATGTTTCGCTTGCTTGTTGATATAATCAAAACAGTCGTCCTGTATTTGTACAGGATCTTACAGGAGTACTTATTGTCATTTTTCATTATTTTATGGTCAAATAACTAAAAACCCTCTGTTTTTTCAGAATTTTTTGCCCATTATGACTAGGTGACTATTTGGTCACAAAAGAGAACGACCTCCACGATCAAACCAAGCATTATCAGCAGTGGTATAATGTTTTGTGGCTATTCGCAACAATAGCTAGCTAGGCCTTAACATGATTGTAGTTGAACAGGGAATAAGATCCAACGAGACAGACCCTAACAGAGAGCTTGACAACTGTCTTTTACGATTTTTAAGACCTAGACTTTTAAACAGTGTGAATATGCTTTCTGATATTCTAACTCAGAAATGATAGCAGAACCCCGCATATGCGATCTTTCTTTATAAATATTTCTGAGGCTGTTTGTAAGATTGAATTTGTGAGATGAGGAGACCCTGGGACCTAGGATAATTATATGCACTCTAATCCCACTAGTATAAGCTTTCACTAGTAACCTATAAACGAACCTTTGCTTCGAGGTCTGCAGGGCACCCTTTTCACCACTTCAAGCTTATTGGCCTAGTTACGCCCCTGGACTCCTGCTCGTATCAAACAATAATATCTTTATCGCATAATTTGAAATTTTCTGACCAAAAATTCAAAACTATTTTTACAGGATATTTTCTTCAAAAAGTTTACGGTCAGAAGAGGTCTTTAAAAAATAACAGACTTGGCACCGAAATCCAATTAGTATCTAAAGCCTACGCAAACGGGTAGATCAAACGCATACGGAGCGATGCAAGCGTAAACGAAAAATGCACTTGCATTCGAAAAAAAGAAAGGCGTACGGAAGGATACAAGCATAAACGAAGATATGAAAACGAAAATGGAGTGATGCAATGAAGTGAAATGAAATAAAACATTTATATGTAAAACGAAATGAAATGCAACGGAGAAATGCCAACTGATGGCGGGAAATTGTTCTTTAAAAAGTCATTTAGTTGTTCTTGCAATAAGGCTCTGTCATTCACTCAAAGGTTAACATTGCCTTCGTAATTCCTCGATGCACATTAATTAGCTAAAACTTACGTTTACATGCAAAACTAGCAACATATGATAACCCTATGCCCGGGCTGAATTTTCGTGAAGGCGTATATAACTGAAACGAGCATACATAATCAGAACCATTAGATTTAAGAACTCCTGAATTCTATGAGTGCGTTTATTAGATAAAACCTTGCCCCTGGCATTCCAGAACCTTCAAGTAGGGCCACACTAGTGCTCGCATATAACCATTTGCATATATGCAGCAATATATTATAAAAGGATTGACCCAGTATCAGGGTAACCCCAACACCATTTGAACACCACTCATTACCAGTGACACTAGTCTGTAACGAACACCCTCAAGACCCACATAGGAAACTTTAATTCTTGGGGAAGTCTATCACGTCTTTTATTTCTTTGAATAATCTAAAAAACACTGAAAATAATCAGCAGTTAGGGTAAACCTTTTTTTATGTTTTTAGTAAGCATACTTCTAAGAAATTAACTTATATAAGATTGATTTTAGAGTATTGTTTAAGCTCAAGAAAATCATGTTTTTTGAATAATCACGTGTATGCAACGTACTCCTTTAGCACAAAGGTGGTCAACGGATTCATGGAGAAGCAATTACTCCAAAGTGCGGGTGGCTACAAACGACAACCATAGAACAGTAACCAACATACCGGTATGTTGCCATGGTAGCAAAATGATAACAAGTATCCGGCTTTAGAACTCGTATCAAAGGCAATTACCAATGGACTGTATGCTAAATCTTATCTTAAATTTGTGTTATTGCAAGAATCTTGACACTAGCTTATGTAATAAAAGCATATTTTTCCATTTTAAAATCCCTGCAAATGCCTAACTGAAATATGAGGTGTTTTACAGCTTACATCTTTGCTTGATTTTGTCAAAAAATATGAACTATCGCGATTGCCTGGGTGCAGGGGGTTTCCGAAGGAGGAAGGTCAAGGGTGTAGTGCAGGAGGGCTACGGAAGGATGAACTCCTTTCTCAATTTCGGAAAGCAGCCAATTTTTACTTTTGCCATTTTTTGCAATATTTTGCTTGAGAGCCCCCTTGCTTTTTCACAGCACTATGCATCACCCTGTCGGATAACTTTTTAGCTTTATTCAAGATGAAATGCTAATTTTAGCGGCGTTATACTCAACTTTTTGTTTACAGAAGGATATTGGATAACAGCTTCAAGTTCTATTTCTTACGTAACACGTTCTGTCAGATTCGCAAACATTTAATACCCCTCTGATTAACAAAGTCTGAAAGATTAACAGTTCTCTTCTTTAACCTTGCCTAACCACGCCTAAATGGGATACGCATTTTTCGAAATCTTAGTTCGGCCCGCCTCTCTTCAAAACTCGCCATCAAGGACGTCGCTAACTTCACTCCTCTTAGAGACGATGTTTCGTTGCATAACCCTCCAGCAAGATTGACTTTAAAAACTCTTTGAATGTATTTTTATCTCAACATATAGTTTCCAGCCCAGTTTTTGTTCAAAACTAAGGGGAAAAGTAGCTATATATACATATCCACTTTAAACGATTCTAAGTGATTTTAGCGGATTATCGTATTCAAAATTTGAGAAATGAAGTGTAACAAAAAATCAAAGGATTGTTTTAGGACAGAAAAGTATCCCTAGATCTTTGGAGACTCAGCACTGCAGCTGTGCGTCTTTGGGGGTATATTATTTCGAAAACAATTTGTACCACCTAGGGGAAAGAGGCATGGGATGACGAAAAAATCAGCTTGACGGCTTCTGAGCTTTGGAGGAAGCCCGATATACGCATTTATATCGCGTATGCATTTATATATACTCAATATTTTGCGCAATATATTGAGAAATGTAAAAGATTGCTGCAGAAGTCAAACACCAATGAGTAGTACACAAACCAAAGTGAGAATAGATGCCATACAAGACAATTGTGGGCAAAACATGGTTACGCCAGCAATAGTTTGATAGCGCTTTATCACATGGGGGGACACGTCCCTCGACAGTTCTCGACAGGATGAATTTTGTTTTTCGTCTAAATTTTAGGGGAGGGGAAATATTTTGACAACGTACTTTTTGTGATGTAATCCTATGATTTTGAAACTGCCTTTTCGTAGCCAAAAGCTAGCAGCTCCCTTCAGGTAAAATTGGCGTTCCCTTTTAGTAAAAGGGCGTTTTCGGAAGGTAAAAAGGGCTTGATTTGTCCCCCCTCCCCCTCAGAGACTAATTGTTGGCGCCGCCACTGTACGCCAGTCCATCCTTACTATGACTTAAACTGAAAATGTCAGTGCAGTTCCCGGATGGTTTCTTATTTGTAGTTTGCACACCCTTGCAATCAAAACGCATAAATCTCTATGCCCTGACATAAATCTTGCAGGTTTTAGGAGGATTGACATGTCTGCTTCTATGGAACCACTCTGCCTATTCTGGGATAAAGCGTCAAACAGGACAGATAGATGAAGCTTATTCAAACAAATTTAATATCAAATAGAAGAATCAAAGTTTTCGAATTTCAACCACAAAAGTATACTTTACTTTATTGATTGTTTCATTAATACTGCAATAATGAGTTGGTTTTACGATAATTTGATTAATAATTATGAATTCAATTGCCGCTTTATCATAACCATCATATTAGTGACAGGATAACATAACCAGAATTTCCTATACCTCTTTCTGATCCAACATCGAGGTACTCTTCCCCTAACAGAGCCTCAACCGAACACTGCAAGTTATGCAACGAAGGCATAACAATAACTGAAAGCTGAAACAATGGTTCCTTCACACGTCACAAGGGACTTTTCTGAAAAAATGCTTTTCTTCTTACGGTGATTTTCATTTTGAAGAGGCGAAATATGCTGTTTTGTACTTGTCTGTATTTTTTCTATTCAACGTCCAAAGAGAGTTTTTAGTACTCTTAGAATATGTTTATCGAGCAATGTTCTGGTCCTTCCTTTCGATGTGACCACACCTCGTGATTCCTACGCAAGGAAGTACAGACAGCTGGCGACTCCCCTTACTCAAACAAAAATAATTTGCAAAAAAATTAAAAAAGCTTCAGATCTTACGGGTCCGGCGTTTTCATAGCGTGAACAGGGCTTTAACTTATTGAGTAGAGAGGGGCCTTTACCTATCCAGTAAAAGGGTGACGTGCGAGGGGATCAGGCTTCACGCTCCCGTCGTTTCATTGACGTATTCTAAAACGACCATCTTCTGATAATGATAGAGGGCAATCTCAATCCCTATCGCTAATTTTCCGCTGCTGAAAACTTTAAAAGATAGAACCATATGTGCATGGTTTGATGTATAGTTTAATTACGCAATCTGCTTAATCGAGTTAAA